TCAATTCTCATTTCTTGAGGACTTACCTGTTAAACTCATTAATATGAGCAGTGCAATAGAAATGGTGATACAGAATGCAAACAAAGGAAATAGGAGCAGAAAATCTGAGACTGAATGTATTAATTACAACATTACCTGCACAACAAAAGAAATATCTTTGCATTCAGCAGTCACATGATGAACATCTGAAGCACTATCACTTCGATCACTGTTTGATTCACAGCAATATTGTTCGTCTTCATCTTGGAAGAACAAACTAATTGAAATTCCCGTCCAACAGACTCTGAGATTGGTCTGTATATGCTGCTTCTCTGTAGAAAGTGGAAATCAAAAGTAGATATAGAATTTTGGGTAAGTGAGAAAATACAGATGCCATTCACATCAACGAAAATACTGCAAGCAACAACACCAAACAGACACACCCCATTATCTCCCAGCACTTAGTTGACTTCTATTCAGTACAACTAGCTACAGAAATCAAATAAAAGCTCCATAAGATCCTTGGCGCAACCATGATCCAAATTCAAAAGATGCTAATATCATCATGTAAGCCTCTAAACTATTCTTGAAGTCCCTGGCGAGTCACTAGGACTACATCACTCTTCTTAAATCGCTTCTCACATCTACATATATCTAGTGTAGCTAAATATGTATTTCAACAACACAAATTCGAAGGACATGAGTCCTATCTAACAAAGAACCATCATTTAAGTAACAATGAGGTTACAGGTTTCAATATGGGAGTTAAAGCATTTACATTGTTCAACTGTCTGGATCATTCTCTCTCGTTAGCTTCGCTTTCTTAAATAATTCTCAATTACTAGAATGCCACTGCATATTGCATGAGCTGTTATTACAAGGGAATATATAGCAGTAGTTCGTATTGCTTAAGTTAGTTACTCAACAAAAGAACTATATAGACAAAGACCCTATTCAAGAAGACTTCAGTGACATCCTTGATGCACTACTGAACTATAAACAAAGAGACAGTATATACATAACCAATCAGTTGTTCATATAAAGCAAGGTAAGAGTGCACATACCAGATGTAACGAGGAAAGAACCAGAAGCAAGGCTAGAAGCTGCAGTTAAAGCACCAAATACCGAGCATGTCCAGCCCCACATCCCACTACTCCCCAAAGCTGACTGTGAATTTCTAAGTCCATCAAAACACTCAAAAAACTGGTCCACACTGCAAATAGACATGATAAAATGATAGATTATACTTGGGCAGTTACATCGTTGAAGTGAGTCAGAGAGCACATCATGTTTCCTCAACAGAAATATATGATGTCTTTTTTGTCGATATATGGCTTTTTTGTCTAATTATCCCACTAACAAACATGTTGCCGAAAATAACAGGACTGTTTAGTGCCAGTAGGGCACAACAGAAGACTGCATTATTCCATCTCTTACAAAAGCAATGAAATCATCTAACAGATGAGAAAGCATTAGTCTATTTGCTATAGCCAAAAATGACACTAACCTTGCCCCAAGGTCAAGATCTTGCACACCATCTGTAACAGATTTTGGCATCCAGTCAGGTATAAGATGCGATCCAGGAAGAACAGAATCACTGAATGACTGTTGTCCTAATGAAGAACTTCCTGAAGCTGAAAGCAACTTTTCGGCTGGAATGAAAGAAGAACTTCGTGTTGATGAATAAAAATGAGAAGCTGAATTGAAGTAAACAGAGTCCGTAGACTTGAACTGTGTATTGGGAACACAATCCTTGTTCAAGATCTTAAAACTCTCCCATGCATGAAGAAACCATTTGAGTGTACCAGGCTTAAGCCTTAATTCCACAGGATCAATACGAACATCAGCATCCACTTTGCGGAGGTCTGGGGAACCATTATTCCAGGGGATACTCAACTTCAATTGCCCAGAAAATCCGTCCTCATTACCCAACATGATCGGAATTGTCTGATTTGAGGTAAAGTCTGACGACAGCACCTCACCAAAAACTGAAGCTGATAGTGGTTCAGATTCACTATTGGCATCACCCATCTCCAGTAGTTCAAGTACCGCTCCTTGAAATTTTAGGAAGTATGCTAGCTGACTGATTCCTAGGAAGTCGTCAGTGGTTCCATTAGAAGTTGAAGAACCATCTTCAGAATCACCCCTCCCAAATTCCACTTCAGCTACGCGTAAGACCAAGATTTTGCGGCAGCCTACTTCCTTATCATACTTTTCCTTGTAAGGTTCAAATGCAACCAGCAAGTTTTTTATCTGAACATGGAAGCTGGTCAATAACCATGTAACCATTTTCGCAATCGTCTTTACACCTTCATGGATGTCAGCAGAACCGGATTTTGCTACCGGGTCGAAATCATTGCCTAGTTTTCCAGGCTCACCATGCATCAAGGACATTTTATCTTGAGCCGCACGACATTTATCACCATAGGTAGATGATTCATTCTCTAAACATTGTCCAAGCACAAGCTCAAGCTCGTCCACTTCAATCTCAATCTCGAAACCATTATCCTTCCGGCACAATTTAACAGAAAGAGAGCCTATGGATCCTTCCTTTATAATCACAGACGACTGGGCACCCCACTGGATGACATTGCAAAAATCAAAGAAATATAGCAATTAGAAGGTCCCAAAACGATTAGCCTCCTCGCTAAATGCTAAAAATAGTTAAAATACTACCATAACATACAGATGAACCAGGAATGCGAGCACCACCACACTTCAGTGTTCATAGAACTAGCACTCTGAGTTACAGAGATTCCAAAATTCAAGAACAGACAACTTCCTCAAATAGAAACAAACACGAGACCCTTCCTCCGCAATTGAACTATCTTATCACCCTCAACCATTTTTGCCTCCACGCTTCCTCCCACACTAACACTCAGACAGGGATGGAGAAGTCCAAACACTAAAACTTAGGTTTGCACAAATAGGCTGGAAAAAAAAAAAAGCAAAACCTTCCCATTCAACTTCAACAAGGAAAGAGAGAGACTCGAATTCACCTTGTACAAAGGAAGACATAAAGAGGGAGGGAGGGAGACAAACAAAAGATAGAACAAATTCAATGCAACAGCGCTAATTTTCGAGCAATTACCTGCTCATTGAGATAATCAACGTTAAGGGCGAGGTCCTTTAGCTGGATAGCGCCTTGCCCGAGCTCAAGCTGATGAAGATCAATATCCCCCAAAATCAGCTGCCCTAGTTTCTTCTTCAACATAAACTGAAGCAGCTTCTTCCTCGCCCACTGCGGGATGTTCCACGGGGACATCGTTGCGCCGCCTCCTTATCCCCGCAAACCTAGTCTTCGTCTCCGTCTCTACAGATATGGATAAGTTCTCAGCTCCGAAGCGGAATTCGTAGCTCGGAAAGTTTGGCTTATGATGCGAAGGGGGAATTAGGGTTAGCGTTTCTTGTTAGGCCGCCGGTGGTGAAAGCGTGGCAAGCTCCGGTCATCCATCAACCAGCGATGAGAAAGAACGAAAAAAACGACAGGGAAGGAAGAATGTTGAATGTTAAAGCAATCATTTATCTTTGACGACTGGGTTTTTGGACGGTATTCGTATTTCCCGTGTTGCGTTGAGTTTTGTCAACCGTCATGGTCTCGTTTTAATATTTTGAAATTCCGGATTAATAATATAAATTGAATTTCGACATAACAATTTCTTTTGGGCCTTCTGCTAAACTATTTTCATAGCAAAAGGTTGCAAGGAAAAGGCCTAGTACACAAAAATTAAATTATCATTATCAGAATTATATTTTTTTATCAATCAATTAATTAATTAAAGTGTAAGTTCCAAAAAATGCAAGTTACTGTTCTTTAAGAAAAATTCCGAGTTTACTATTTACAAGAGAGTTGGAGAATTCATTGTGGGCAAATTCATGTGAGCAGTGAGCCCATTTTTATTTCAGTTGAGTTAGCCAAGCGTGATCGTTGATGTGATTTTCAGTTTCTTAAATGCATGAGCTCATATAAAACCAGTGGCACGCAATTTATTTAATAATAATGTTGATTAAAAAATAACGAGGAAACAAGAAAGACAAGAAAATTTCAATTCAAAATATCATCGGGTGTCGCTCTCTCCTACCTCACTAAGCACGCTGAATGGAGAATTTCAGACACCTCAAACGCAACGAGTTATCGAGAGAGTGAGTCTGAGCGAGAACGATAGAGAGAGCCGTGCCTTCACGTTTATTTTCTACTTTGCATGAATCAAGACCAAGAGTTCATTGATGCAGTTCATTGCCAAAACATTGTTCCATATTGCACAGTCAGATACTCGGATGTGTCTCTCATGTTCTTGAACATTTAAAACTTGTGCAGGTTGTCGTCTGCATTGATCCATCCTTCAATCAAAAGATTGGTAGACTATAGAACTGTTTGCTGGCAGCCCCCAACTCCAGAACTCTGTAGTTGTTGTTTGTAGGGATGGCCAATGGGTCGGGTCGGGGGCGGATAGTGCATATCCGTTACCCTACCCAAAGTACTTCGGGTTTTACCCATACCCACATGTGAAACGGGTAGAAAATCAAAACCATGCCCATACCCGTTCGGGTTTCGGGTATCCACGGTTATCCATGGATATTAATTTCTCTTCATAACTCCAACCAATATGTTAACATTCACACGTATTCTTATATTAAGTAAGAGAAAAAGTATGACAAGAATTCACTAGAATGAAGAAAATTAACTAAAACAACACAATTTCATGAAAATGTTATATTTATATGCTAAATATAAAATATGTTAGAGAAAAATAACGATTATTTCTAGACAAAATACATATGCATGTGTATAATCGGGCGGGTTCGGGTCGGATAGTGAGAAACCCATGCCCACCCATTACCCGTAATATTCGGGTTCGAGTTTTACCCGTACCCACTAAGTGTCCTTCGGGTTCGGGTTTTACCCTACACGACTAGGCCGGATTCGGGCGGATATCCACAGTTACGGATATTATTGCCATCCCTAGTTATACATGCACAGGCACGCACGATTGTTCTGAACAATTTTGTAACATTTACAGGAAAAAATAAGGAATGTGGACTATGTGCAGTCTTTAAGCATGAACATTCATCTACGACGAAGTAGACGTTGAACCATTAGCTTGATCCAGGATGATGATTGTTATGTAACTTTGGAACTGAAGTAGTACTGAAGACAGAAGAAACCCTCAGCTACAAATCCTACGTTTATAACCATAAATTTCTTCCCTACAATCGGCCACACTGAAAGACCAATGGAAAATTCCATGTCGAGAGTTATCTGCCGATGACAAAATCAGCAATTACAGGTCCGATGGTTAGAGTGACACTGGCGTACCTTAGGAAAGCTAGCCTTTCCACAGCACAAAAGGAATGCCTACTGCTACCAGCGCCCAAAACAAAATCCCCATTTTCAGCTCCAAATGGGACACTACTTTCGACCTGCACAAAAAAGATAGCACATAGCAGAAATCAGAATCCACCCTGTAAAATCACCACTCAACAAGAGCAAAGTTGTCTGTACTCGAAAGCACGAGTCCTGATTTCAAGTACACTATTGTACTGCGTCGAGACCTTCTATCGAGAAATCTTGACGAGAAGGTTTGAGCTGGTTCGGTAGACTATTCTAGCATTCTACTAGTTCGACCTCTAGTCGATTCGTATTAAGCAACGTCTAGAGACAAGCTTCTTGGAGCGTTATTAAGAACCCGGAAATGCAGTTCTTACCTGTTCTGATCCGTTTAGAACGCCTCCTAGTGCTGTCCAAATCATCGTCTTCCTCGTTCTTGTTTTCCTTCTCTGCAGCTTTCGCCTTGGCCTGCTTTCCCTTCTCTAAGGCTTCATCTTCTTCTTCTTCCTCCTCATCTTGGTTTTCCTTCTCAGAATCGCCTCCCACTTCATTTGCCCTAATGATATGTACCTGAGCCACCATACATGAACTTCATTAAACCACCCTCTCATATCCTTGGAGACCAAAAGAAGACCCAATCCACAGAGGGAGAGTGTTTAGGTAAAAAGGGTTGGCTCAACCTTGAACTCTGTGGGGCTGACCAGCTGGAAAACCAATGCGTCTCCATCGACCAGCTCGTGATCAATGGCGAACCCTCTCCAACCGCCACTGAGACCAGTTTTCCCAGCAAGGTACTTGGTCTGAGATGGCTCCTCTCCCTCGTCTATCAACGTCATCATCTCGTCCTCCTTCGGAAGGTACGTCTTGCAGAAGAGGGATGGCAGCCCCTAGAAAGAAGGGAATTTTTCTCTTGTTCACTAACCAAAATTACACCAATTCATATCACACCATGGTAAATGAATCGGAATTCGGAACTCAAACTCACCAGCCAAAACCCTCCAGTGACATGGGACTGGAGCATGGGTTTCACAAAGCTCGGATGCTCAGGATCCAAAGTGGATTGGAGTTCTTCAGCTCTATGAATCGCATACTGCCTTACCTCACTAGATGCATACACACGATTCAGCAGATCTCTTCTCTGGTAGCTGAAGGTCCTGGAATGGAAGTGCATCCATCACAGAGGAAAACCCTAATTATTACAGTCATGAGAAATGAGAAACAATTGAGAGAGCAAACCTTCTTGTTTCGCCTAATGGCTCCACTGGTCCCTGCCAGAAATTTCAGGGCGTCGATCAGAAACTCGAATCTCGAACGGGGTAGTGAGAGAGAGAGAGAGAGAGAGAGAGAGAGAGAGGCGGAGTAGCACTTACTTCCCTGTAGCTAACAGAGGGCTGGTCCGCTATTCGTGACGACCTCCTCGCCGGAGCCAGCACCGCCGGCCGGCGAGCTCTGGGTTTCGCCTGCTCGACGGAAGACTTCCCATTAAAGCCGGCGATCTCCGTAAACGACTTAGAGTGAGGGAAAAGAAAGCGAGCGCAAAGAGCACTAAATCACTTACAGGGGAAGGATTGGAGGAGGGATTGGGTTGGGGACGAAGATGCTTAGCGAGCTTCAGCAGGTTGAGGTCTTCCATCCTCTTCTTGTTCTCTTCCACCCTCTGCCGCCGGACTTCTTCGTAACTCATCACCTTCTTCTTCGCTCCCACCATTGTTGAAATTTCTTCTCCGGACCAAAGATCTGTAGAAGAGTCTTCTGGCCGCCTATAGGGTTTCGGTCTTTTCCGCTCCGCCTCGTCGTGTGCAGTCGGCGGGGAGATGAAGCGACGAAGGAGAGGAGCAGCAAAAAATGGTAACTGAAGCGCTCGGTCTAAAATTTCAAAATTCGAAGACAGTAGACACCTATTAGTCATACTTACTCGTTGCTACTACTACTATTGCAATTTTTAGTCTATTTTCATCCCTGAAGTTATGCCCAACCTACGATTTGGTCCTCATCCTTCTTTATCTATACAATTCAGGCATTTTCTTTAACATATTGGGGGTTCAAAAGAAGTTCAATCTGATCCAATTGTCTTGTTTTGAGATAATTAGACTAAAAATTGACATGTTTGTCAGAATAAAATTTGGATCGATTTTTTTTTTGAATCGATGCGTTTTGGATAAATTTCAATTGTCTGAGTTGGGGGCTGACAATTCAAATTGATTCGTTATAAATGACTCGTTTTAGCAATCAAATGTGAGAATTGACTGTCACGTAGGAAAATTTCAACTGAAATGCATAAATGGGTGACCAAAAATAAAATGAGAGTTAAAAAAAAATAATGATCGCTAATATCACACATGCCCAAAAAAACTAGAATTCTAGAAATCAAAATGTGGTAAGTAATAGTAAGTAATAATGACATATTCCAGCTGGACTGGCGATACAGTTTCACAAACACTCTTGGATTGATTCACATTCTCTAACTTAAATCGAAACCAAATCTCTATGCTATCCTAAGCTGTTGCATATACCCTAACTTTTCAAGCTAATGACAAAAGCATATACACCATAGAAAAGTGTATCATCTTCCTGCCTAAGTAATAGCATTCTGCTTGCTTCCTCCCTGCACAAAAGCAGATCCAACTTCCTACTTCCTTCTACCTTACATCAATCACCATGGCGCATTTGCCAACGCCACAAACTCACTCCCACTCCCACTCCCACCATTCAATCTCTCAGTCTCCCCGCGCAGTACTTCCACCCTTTCTTTCGCCTTCCCAACCTGCTTCTCCAGAACACGCAGCTCCTCCTCCGCTGCCTCCCTCTCCTCCACCAGCCTCGCGCGCCTGTTTGTTGCTTGATCAGCAAGGCACGCCAGCTTCCTCAATCGAACCAGTACGAAACCCACATTCATCCCCAGATTCTCGAAGCCCTTCAACTTCTTCTCCCACACCTCCAGATCCTTACTCTGGCTCGAGCTCGACAGTGCTCTGATAGCATAAGCAATGCTCGTAACTTCATCGATCATCCAAGCAACGACCTTGGCGTTAAGCCCCTCGAGCAGGCCTTGGTGCAGAAACGATCCCTGGCTGCGGCACAACTGGTAGTACTTGAACCTAACAAGCTCCGGGAGTTGGTCTTCGTCGTCGATGGCAGAACCATTTGCAACGATTTCAAAGTCTTCAAAGCGTTTCACTCTGTCGAAATCATCATCTGCAATGGATCCTGGCAACTTGCTGTTCTTGCTATCACTTCCTCTTTGAAACCCTTTATCTGGCTCAGACCCAACATTATCATTATCATTATCATCATCCATTAACCCATTTCTGTCATCGTTTTCTTCCAATTTTACTCCTAAACTTCCATCCTCTGCATCAACCCAAAACAATAGGCATTCATGATTCAACCCTTTACCCCCCCCCCCCCCCCCCTGTAACCAACAACTGAACTATCAGCACAAATATGTCTATAACCAAATGCTTACCACCATTAACAGTTCGCGACCTTAAACGACCATGATCGACACCCACTTCCTTTGAGGCATTTTCCCTCACAATGTAAACCTGAACAAGAACAACAGATTCATAGCTTATAAGGAGCATGCACATTCCCCCCACTGAAATTCTACCGCAGCTAAGAAATTACCTTGAACATCAAGGGACTGACAAGACGAAGAACCAGAGCATCTCCAACCACTAATCTATGGTAACTGGCAAAAGCCCTCCACCCTCCGCGGATCCTGCTATCACGCCAGTAAAAATTGACCAGGAAACCCTTCCCATCTTCCCCTTCTAAGGTGACCTGCTTGTCCGCGCTTGGCATATGCCACTCACAGAATGCTCTAGATAGACACTGGACTCACAACAACAACAAAAAAATCAAGCTCCACCCATTCACCAATTGACGGGTAGAATACGAAGTAACAGGCAGTAAACCCGTATTAGGGTTTTTCTTTCTAACCAGCTTATAATCTCGAGCAGTGAAATTGGAGGGCGTCAGGAGCCTGATCAGTGTAGGCTTCCCGTCGGTTCTCTTTAGATCGGCTTCAATTTTCGCGGCCTTGGTCTTTACGGCACAACCAATCTCGGCATTCTCAGATGAACTGCCCGGCATCACCTTCCTTTTCCCCCTTGCGGCTGAATGATAGTGACGACGCAGAGTTGTTGATTCCGTCCTGTCAGATTTCTAACAGTTAGCGAAGGTACAGAAGGAGCCCAGAAGAGCAGAAAGCAAGCCAGGCGTAACCCAGGAGAAGGGATTTTCTCGCCTGCTTCATCTTCTGGTAGCTTGGGGTGGAATGTACGGCGACAAGAAAGGTTCTTAAATAACTCTGTTTTGAGACCCACTTCTCCTTCTCCAGGGGATTTTGAGAGTTTATAGACATTGATTGTAGAATGACGTTGATCGATGAGACGCTGACAGTAGCAGTAATGAACTAATGATGCGAGTTCTTTGATTACTCTCTTTGGGAAGATGCAATCTGTGACTAGGGATGGGAGACGGATGACGGATCCTTTTGGGGAATGGTATATAAAAAAAAAATTATTAATTAATTAAAAACTCATATTAAATGTAGGGATGGCAATGGGTTGGGTCGGGGGCGGATAGTGCATATTCGTTACCCTACCTAAAGTAGTTCGGATTTTATCCATACTCATACCCACATAAGAAACAGGTAGAAAATTAAAACCATACACATACCCGTTCGGGTTTCGGGGTAGCCACGGTTATTTATGGATAATAATTTCTCTTCATAACTCCAACCAATATGTTAACATTCACACATAGTCTCACAGTGTGAAAGAGAAAAAGTACGACAATAATTCAGTAGAATGAAGAAAATTAATTAAAACAATACAATTTCATGAAAATATTATATTTATATGCTAAATATAAAATATGTTTGACAAAAATAATGGTTATTTCTAGAAAAAAATACATATGTATGTGTATAATCGGGCGAGTTCGGGTTGGATAGTGAGAAACTCATGCCCACCTATTACCCGCCATATTCGGGTTCGGTTTTTACCCTTACCCACTTAAAGTCATTCGGGTTCTGGTTTTATCCTACCCGATTAGGTCGGATTCGGGAGGATATCCACGGTTACGGATATTTTTGCCATCCCTAATTAAATGTATTGTTTCTTTTAAAAAATTAAATGCTACAATAAATACATTTCTCTCTTGCTTTTACTTTCCCAAAAGACGGTTTACTCCGATCGACAGGTTTTCTCCCGTAAAATCCCTTAGTCACACTCCCTTCAGCACCCTGTAAAAAATGTACAACTTCGTCTGGTAACGTTACCACTCCGTCTGATAGCATTATCAGTGCAGTGGTAATGTTACCAGATGGAGTGATAGCAGTACCACTATACTCATACATCACCAGTGATAGCGTTATCTCTCCATTTAATAACGTTATGAGTGCATTGATACAATACCACTAGATGAAAAAAAAACTATCACTCGACCTAAATACAAAAAAATTATATATGAAAAAAAAAACACATATCAGGAGAAAAAAAAAACGAAGAAGAGGGGAGGACGACTAACGGTGGAAGGACACGCACTAGAAAAGGCGAGTAGAGAAGGTGACGACGACGTCATTGGAAGAGGGCGACGAGAGAGAGGACGGTGGCCGGCAGGAGAGAGGCAACGACACTAACATCGTCAATGGAGGACGTCGACAGTACAAGATCGGAACGCGACAAGGTTGCGTTCAGGCAACCTTGTCACGGTCGAGGGGAAATGGGAACACAAAGTACACAACAGCCGGGAGGAGATGAGGAGGGGGAAGGCAACTAGGGTTTTCGATTACCATCCCTACTCAACAAGTTACAACCAATACTGAATTGGCTGGCTGGTTGAGACAGCATGTCCATGAACATATTAGACATTGACGGCAAACTCTATGGATGAACTCAAAGAACAGAGTACTTTCTCATTCATAAAAAGAAAAAGGCTCTCATAACTTTACAAACACAGAGACTTCTTATCCATTAAAGGGGAAAAAAAGCTCCAAGAAGAGCACAAACATGGAGGGATTGGCACCTAGCTACTTTTATACACAGCCAACATTGTCCATTTACATACTTATGACCAAGCAGCACTTGCCAACTCCCTGACTGCATCTTCAACGCCATCCCCGTCAATCCCCATTTCCTCAATCTCAAGCTCCAGCTCTTCCATCTTCCCTCTAGCTTCTCCAAGCTCTGCCTCCAGAACCTTCACCCTCTCCTCCACAGCACCTCTTTCTGCTCTCAGCTTCCTGTACCTGTTCGCCTTGTCAGCGAGCCCCGCGAGCTGCTTCAACCGAGCTAGCAGGAACCCGACATCCATCCCCAGCTTCGCGAATGCCTCCAATCTGCTCCCCCAGCTCTCGAATCGATCCTCTCCTCCCTCGTCCAGCTCGAAACCCCTGATCGCGTCGGCAATGTGCACCGTCTCGGCGATCATGCCGGCCACGAGCTTGTCGTTGAGCCCCTCGAGGACGTGCTGGTGCAGGAACGAGTTCCTGCTTCGGCACAGCTCGTAGTACTTCGCCCCGAGTCGCCTGGGCAGCTCGTTGTTGATGATCGAACCGTTCGCCACGATGCCAAACGACTCGAAGCTTCCCACTTGATCGAAATCGAGAGCGATGCCGCGGAGCTTGTCGATCAGGTCCGATGTCTCCTCGGTCCCATCATCACCATCATCATTGTCACGCAACATCGAGCCCCTAGCGCCCCTTTTCGGAACAGATTCTGGTGGCTGCGACTCCGAGTTCTGTCCTGCCTCCTCAGGGCAACTCGTCTTACCGGACTTCGGCGTACCAAAATCGCCGTCAGAATCAGCTCCGATCGAGGCATTCGACCTCACAATGTAGACCTGACATTGATAAACAAGTCCGAATTTCGTATAAACAGAGGAAAAAAAAACTAAGCAAACAATTGCATATATCTATATGTAACCTTGAACTTGATTCTCCTAATCAATTGAAAGATCAAGACGTCTCCTTTCACCAACTTGTTAGCAATGGAGAATGCTCTCCATCCACCGCTGAGCCCTTGCTTGAGGGCGAGATACTTCGCGGCCCAAACTCTCCCGCTCTCGTCTTCCAGCTCGACTCTCCGGTCCACAATCGGCATATGCTCGTCGCAGAACTCCTTCGAAAGGCCCTGGTGCGCGCCATCTAGATGGTTAGTCCACCATTCAAGAGCTCAGCTTCAAGCTGGCTTTGTAAAATTGTTAAGTAAAACTAAAATCTCACCAGCCAAAACCCATTTGAAACGTGGGAAGGAAGCATAGTCTTCGTCAAAGTAGGATGATCCTCGGGAAGATTGGCTTTGATCTCCTCTGCCTTGTTCATTACGGCATTCATCACCTCAGCATTCACATAGAAATCGTCTATCACCGCTCTTTTCCGCTTGTAGCTGGAAAGCAAGCAACAAAATAGAGTATTTTCAGGGGTTTTTGCAAACTGGAATTCTTCAACAGAAACCGGAATTGTTAAAAGATTATTCTTCAACAATGAAGAATCACTGACCCTCGAGAATTGGGTTGAACGCTGCTGCCTTCCTCCTGTCCAAAAATTTCCAACGGTTAATAGCTTTTACAGTATCAAAGAAAACAAGAATATCCAAAAAAAAGGGCAAGAGGTTTTTTTTACAGGGAGCAGAATCCGCTTGATCTTAGCCAAGCCTTCTTCATTCAGCTTCACCTTCCGCGGCCTTCCCCTTTTCCTCTGCACCAAAAACAGAGTAAACACAAGAAACAGAGAATTGGGTTCATGCATGCATGCATAAAGAAAGGCAGAGAGATCAGAGAACCAGAAACAGAGAAGAAGAAGAAGAGGGTTCAAGTTAAAAACCCGGGGAGTGTGATCAACTTGAAGATCGGACATGGCGGCAATGTCGTCGATCGTTAAAGGCTACTTCACCAACTGAGAGATAGAATTTGAGTCTCAAAACAGAAAACAGGAGAAGGGTGTAGTGTTTTTATTTATAGCGTGGGGAAGGAGATGGAAGATGGAAAATCGGCAGAGACAGAGAGACAGGTGTAATTAACTTTCCTGACACTGCTACAGTAACAGGAGGGTGGGCTTGAATCCGGAAATCGTGCCACCTGGGTCTCATGATTACTGTTCTTCCCACGATGTTGATTAGCTGTAAGCTGTACAGTGAATCGTGTCTAACTCTTCTTCCCGCGATGATCAACCAGCGCGGTAAAAATGGAGGTGCAGTTTACTCCAATGCTAAACATTTTTGTTATTGATCATGAAAACAAACTCTATGTTGGCTGAAGTTGATCGGGACAAAAAAGGATTGCAGTAGCGTTTTGGGAAGCCCTCTCAGACTCTGAGAGTCAGTCTCTTGACATCAGAAAACAAACTGTCCATGGCACAAATATCACTAGACTCGAATCATGGTGGCAAAGATTCATAAAGCTACAAACTTTCAATCAGATTAAGGATAATACAAACACCATACATTGAAATACAACCTACAGGCCTACAACTAGTACAGCATGATACATTACAGACATTCAAATGTTACAGTACACTGCTGCCTCTAACGGCAGGAATTACAGTACATTACATTACAGAACTCCTTTCACCATGGAGCATTCACAACTTCCTGAAACATGACTTCATGCCTCTCCGCAGTCACTTTCAGAGTCTCGATCTCTTCGTCGATCCTCTTCCTGGCCTGTCTCAACTCCTTGAGTTTCATTTCCAGGCTCTCCATCTCCTCGCTCACGCGTTCCTGCCTCAGCTTCACTTCCCGCCTCTCAGACTCCACGGCCTTCTCCGACTCCAGTGCGAGCTTCATCAGCTTGTCCAGCCTGTTGCACAGGAACCCGACGTTCATCCCCAGCAGCTGGAACCCTTTCAGGTTCTTCTCCCAGACGGCATACTCCCTGCGAGAGCTCGACAGTGTGGACGACCTGATGGACTCAGCTATATCGACTGTTCCGATTATGAGCTCAGCAGCCAGCTTGCAGTTGATGCTGTCGAGGAGGTTCCCGTGCAGAATTTTTTTCTGGGAGCAGCATAATTCATAGTATTTTTGCCGGTGGTGGTCCGAGAGCTCCGAATCGATCTCAGTGCCATTGACCACCACACTGAACTCTTGGATCCCACCTGAGAAGTCAATTATGTCATGAGAGTCGGTGGGTTCTGAAGAACATGTGACGATATCCATGTTTCCGGAGCTGTTTTCAGAGTGCTCTTGAAAATTGGCGTTGGTTGTTGAATCTATTGCTACGAGACGCTTTTCTTGTTCATCGTTGTTGCTATTGTCCTGCCTCGAAAGGGCACTTTTATTACTGTCTTGGGTTCCCGGCAGCTTAACTGGTTCTCTTGCTGTCAGGAAAAGTGAGTGAAGATAGGATGAGACTAATGTTTATGGACAGGTCAGGAATTCGTAATGAGTTTTGGCGGAGAAGGTTAAGTACCGGAAATCATTCGCTTTTCACTAGGCTCTGTAGGTTGGATGTGAAGATCGTTGTTGGGCTTGGGAGAAGAATCATTTCCTCTCACTACATACACCTGCAAAATAGTTACAGTTGGAAGATCTGTTGCTTCAAAGTTCTACTCACTAGAGTTGACTTTAGAGGTTCAGTTTTGACCTCCTAACCAACATATCTAGGAAATACATCTCCCTTTTCATGTTACTAGTAACCTTCTTTTCTAGAAACAAAGAACCCAGATGAAACAACCAAAAATACAAGGAACCCATCTTTCCACAATGGAAGAGAACATTACCTTAAACCTTAGGGGTTTGACCAACTGGAAGATGAGAACATCGCCCTCAATCAGCTCGTGTGCAGCACAGAAGGCCTTCCATCCACCACTCAAAGCTGTCCTGTCCGCAATGTAATTGATTACATATTCTGCTCCAATTTCATTTTCGACAAGAACAGTTGTATCAGACTTTGGGAGGTAAGATTTGCAAAACCGCATTGGAAGATGCTGCACGGTGAAAATCAAGGTCAATATACATAGCTTTACGTCTCTCGAAAATGGGACAGCAATTTTTGAAGGCATATTACCATCCAGAATCCAACAGTGACATTGGAACGGACTAACGTCTTAGCAAAGCTAGGGTTATCAGCAGGTAGATTTGCTCGAAACTGTTCTGCACGCTCCAGCGCAGAAGATGACTTCGCCTCAGCACCATCGTAGAAGTCATGTACAGCCGCTCTCTTTTGTCTGTGCACACAAGCAACCGTATTAAACAACAGTCCTGCTATCTGAGCAGTCATCAACTGAAGCAAGGAAACACCAAAAGACTAGATCACTGACCTTTTAGAGTCGGGTGAATTGTCATACACAACCTGCAAAGGTGAAGAACAATCCAAGTAAGTAGCTTAATATATGCTGCCTCGGCAATTTCAGTTACAAACTGTAGAAGTCACAGTCCTTCTAATTAAAAGAACAACTAACTTCAAAACATTTGGTGGCGTTTTATAGCCAGATACGGATGAGGAATCAGAGAGCTTGTGCCGCAGAGAAAGCTCGAAACTTTGCACGCGATATAGCAGAAGTAATACACATGGCCGCAACCAAATGAACAAAGTCTCCTATTTCAAAGATTTCACATGACATAAGCAGTGAGTAATACAACAACCTCAGTTAGCTTAAACCAAAAGGGCAGCTCAAAATCCTGCAATCGATTCTGAGGAGCTCCAGCAAGCTAATGTATGAAGCTGCAGCTCGCAACTGAACCAACCACAACAGATTTCTCAGAACCCTCAGCTTGAGCAAGCAATTCGGGGAATCTAAGCTAACCCCCTGATTTCCCGCGAAAATTTTGTCCACAAGAGAGCTTCATCCACCACTAATTGTAAACGGATAACAAAAGCCCTCAAATTAAAATTGCCAAGGAACAGCGACCAAACAAAAAAAAAATAAAGCTGAAGCAAGCTGAGCAGAGAGTAGAAACACAAAGAGGCTGCCCGCCCTAAACAGAAAAATTCGAAAGTTCCCACAGAAGAAGCTCGAGCTAGGGGGGGAAGAAACGAAATAGGGTAAAAGAAAAAAAGGGAATCTCACGAGTTGAGAGTTGGAGTCAGGTTGCTCAGGAGATTGAAGATGGTGGTGGATCTGGCTAGGCTTCGTCCTGGAGCCACGCGACTTCCTTCTATGAACCTGAAAGTGAAAGAAAAAAAAAAACCCACAGACAGATTCTTTCTCAGGGATCAAACACCTCCCCCGGAGAAAACCCACATCGGACAACATGCAAAAAAGAGGGAAAATACCTTGAAGTGGGGATACATGGCGATGTGCTCGTTGAGGGGAAGCTGATCGGAAGGAGTAGGGGAGATGGGTTCTTCCGCTGCATCCATGGAAGCAAAGGGGGTGAAAGCTTGGTTCTTTTTGGTTTCGTTTTTCTGGGTTTTTTTTCTCTCCCTGAAGCTAATAAGTAGTACAGCAGCTGGTTCTGGTCCTTGATAAAAGGGAAAGAAGGGAAGTGGAAATGGGGAATGAAGAAAGTAAAAAGGGAGGAAAAAAAATGGTGTTTGGCTTTTTTTCTCGTAAGGAGGGTGGTGGGCTCACACAGTCACATTTCCTCTCTCAGGTCAGGTCTCGTCAGACCTGTTTCAGGTCGTACCTTACCGGGAAAAATAACCTTTGTGGTAAAATTAGTGTAACAACCGAACATTTTTCTCGACGAAGATATTGTCTGTTTTGGGTCAAGAGCCTCACGGTTTTTACTTTGGGGGTGCAATTCAAGGTGACTTTTCAGAGTATCACTCATCCTTATTGTACTCTACACTAAACACGTTTAACTTTGGAGTTCTCACAAGATTTCCTTAATTTCACCCCCAAAAAGTGTCTTGTCAGTTACGGCCGATTTCTTACTTATGAACCATGAATCTCTCCGTGCTTTGTCGATGTGGGATTTGCCTAATGTGTTAGGATTAGTGTCTGAAACGATGCGGTTTTATTATTCATATTGTCAATGTGGTATTTGTAGAGTCAAATAACTCATTTATTGTTCATGTGGTATTTCAGTGTTATTTCAGTGGTAATTGAAATAAAGTATCTAGTTTGGTTGAACCATGCAAATGTGGTATTTGACATGTGGTATTTGGTAAAAGCAGAGTGATAAAACGAGTTATTTCAAAATAACACATGGGTATAAGTTATTTCAAATAACTCGTTTGAGTTATTTGTAAATAACTCACTGTCCAAATAACTCATTTTAGTAAAACGCTGCCAAACGAATTGTTTGCGTCCAAATAACTCATTGTGAGTTATTTGAACCCAAATAACTCATACAAATACTCCATCCAAACGACCCCTAGAATAAATAGTACAAAGTATGTGATGAATTCGTCTAGTATAATTATGTCTAGTATAATTATAGAAGAAATATATTTTAAGTATGACATAGTATTTTATGATAAAAACTTATTATTTTAATTAGAAGAGAGCACACAACGGAAGCGGTCAATAATTTTTCTGTAAGAACGGATCTATGTTTCTCTAATTAACTTTTTGTATGTTTATTGTTCTGTATATATGCAATCATCTATTCTCAAGACTCTCATATTCACTTTTTCTACTCAAAACATGGAAATCAGAAAATCGTTTTTGCTCATTTTATGTGGTATTATTATGGCTCTTGAATATCAGTTTACAATTTGCTGGAGTTTTTGGTCATGACTCAGCAGGGTTAGAAATCTATAGTTTATGTGATTATGGTCCATGTTTACCCTTCATAATATTGTCTCACTTACTCCATCATGTTATATATTTCATGATAGGCCTGTTCCAGGGGTGGTGCTGATGCTTCTGGAGGGGTGAAACTTCTGTGTGATGATCCAAAACATGTAATGAAACACGAACGTCTTACTGGTTACGTGCATGGTGTTCTGTTTAACACGACGAAGATTTCTAAAAAAAAAATTAAGTTTATCTTCATTCATTTTTTTTATATAGGTCACAATCGACAATGGGATCATACAGTTGACATTGGCAAATCCAATTGGATGAAGCACTGGACTAAAATATCATGGATCCGAGAATTTATTGCACAATGTTGAATCTAAGTTCTGGGGAGCGTACGTGATTGATTTGCTTCCATTTTCCTTCATTTTCTCATTTTGAATAATTAATGTGGTACAAAGGTTTGCAATTTAGGAAGAAAGAAAAAAAACAATACAATCTTGACTGTGTCCTTTAATGTGGTTTCAGGTACTTTGATGTCTCCTATAATGTGATTCCACCACGTCAAGGGGCAGGGGGTTTACATAGGTAATTACTATTAATATCACACATCAATCTCAAGATAATTATGTGCTATTATACTTCATTAGTTCATTGTCAAAAGTTTCAACTAAAAAATATCATCTAAAATGTGCTTATTTATCAATAATATGGGTAGCTAGTTAGGATAGCCAACACTGACCACATCTTGAATGTTATACTTTGAAGTTGATGCAAACTTAATCTCGGATGATTTGTATGTTTGATAGAGTGGAGGCAACGAAATATACTGTCATCACAGAGAAACCAGATATAGTGGAAGTGTCATTCAGTGCAGCATGGAATCTGGGGCTAACAGATTCTGTCGTTCCACTCAATTTTGACATAAGGTAAATGTAACCTGTCCACAATGATTCGTTATGTTAAGTGTAGGACGGAGTAAAATAATCAGGGGTGATTATGTTTCTCACACTACAAGAAAAATCTTTTCTGCAACCATCTAATAATCAGGGACACTCGTATTTATGTTACTAAGAGTGACAGATATGTAGTATGAAAGGTGACACTCGTATTTATGTTATTGAAATTGACAGATATGTAGTACGAAAGGGTGATTGTGGATTTTATACTTACGTCGTTGAGGAAAGACTGGCCAGACATGGACATGAGTCTACACTTTTTCGTTTTCAGGCCTAATAAACAGTTGTAAGTTTTCTTCATTTCACACCCCGTGTATTCTAAGCTTTTGATGAGTGATAGTTTACTATGTAAATTCCAGTCCATGGACTGGATGAGCATGAGTAACTAAAATACAACAATCCAATTTTAATTTAATATTTGAGACAATCACCGATAAAATAAATTCCTTCAGGTGTAGGTTTGACTTGTACATGTATATATTGAAGAGTTGGAGTGATGGTTACATAATGAAAAACTTAAACTTACGTCTTAACAAAAATATTGTATCTTTTTTGTTTAGATTCAACTTTATGGCAGTGTCCAGCGAAATTCAATTGGTTATGCCGACAGAAGAGGATCGAGCAACTGGTATAACCCTAGCTCCTAAAGAAGTTGTGCTCATAACCAAACCTGTATCTAATCCAGATTTGAAAGACCAAGTGGATGACAAGTATGAATACATCCAAGAACAGAAGAATTCAAAACTCAAAGGTTGGATCTCCGATAAGTCCAAAATAGGATTTTGGTTGATTCAGCCTAGCAACGAATACATGAACGGCGGACCCATCAAATATGATCTCTCTTGTCATTTAGGGCCAACTTCTGTCATGGTAAGAACCCGTAAGACTTTTATCGAGGATTCTCTAATGAATATTTTCATATTTTCAATACGATGATATCCGTTTATCTTTTATTCCACATGGTTGGTCGTTGTACACATAGGTTTTCACGGGAGAACATGTTTATGGAAATGATGTCAGACATGGTGTTCAAAAAAGGAGAGGGGTGGAATAAACTGTTTGGACCATTTTTCGTTTATCTAAACTCCGATCAAGATCGTGCAGGCCTCTGGAAAGATGTCAGATCACGGGTATAATTTGTTGTTCACTAGTAAAGTTTAATGATTTATTTAACATATGTGTACCTATGTATCTATATGTGTTTAATTTTATTTATTTATTTATGCTTATGATGCCGACATAGTTGGAAAAAGAAAAAAACAACTTTGGCCATATAGTTTTGTTCAACATAAAGATTACCCTCTAGCTGCCCAACGCGGAAGTGTTATTGGCCAATTACTCGTTGACGACAAGTATGAATATCCGTAATGTGTTGTTTTCTTATAGATATTTCTTATCAAAATTTAATTTATTATAGCCAAATGTTTTTATTTTCAAGTAATAATTATATTAAATAACATTTAATAATTTGCATTAACATTTCAAATACATATGTCAGACTCCTTAAGGAGGCATGCAAAGCAATGGTGGGTTTGGTAGCGCCCGGTACAACTAATGAAGCATGGCAACGTGAAGCAAAGGTTAATCTATTTTATTTTAATCCCAAAATAATTATTTTATGTGAAAAAATAAATTATTTGAAATATTTTAAAAAATATAAATAAATGTCCCCATTTCACATCTTTTTTTTCTTTCTTTTGCATTGTTTTGCTCAACATGCCATGTTTATAATAGCTATTTAAATAGATAAAATCCAAACAAATGATGGTCTATCAAGGTTAATTCTCAACTTGAATATCACTGGTTTGAATTCCAGAGCGTACTTTAAAATTATGGGATACGCTCAATCAAAATAGTAGAATCCAAATTATTCTAACCAATAAATTTTGATTTCTATAAGAGAATTCGATTGACAGGTTATACTCCTCTTACTCATTCTCATATCGTGACATTATTTAAAAAAAACACCTTGTAGGGTTATAGCTTTTGGATGGAAGCAGATGAGAAAGGAAACTTTGTGATTAAGAATGTGAGGCCTGGAGACTACAATTTATATGATTATGTTCCGGGTATAATAGGCCTCTCTCTCTCTCTCTCTCTCTCTCTCTCTCTCTCTCTCTCGGGAAATTCCCCTGGAATTCAATGGCACTTCATCTCTTTGGGGAAATTCCCCTGGAATTAATGGCGCCCAGGAATTGCCGACGGTGGCGGGGCACGGAGGCGGCAGGCGACGCAAAAGGGACGGGTTCCGCGCTGGGTTCATTTTGTTTATTCCTTTTATAATTAAAAATTAAATAAACATGTAATTACTATATTGCCTTTCATTAAATAGGATTAATAGGAGCCCTTGGATTTTAATGAGGTAGAGTGGCTGAGATTCACTTAGCCATGTGACTAAGGGGACCCCTAGCCCTCTTATTTCCCCATCGTCACATATGCTCTTATAGTCATGTCATTTCTGATGATTTTTTTTTTACTTAATAACACCTTGTGCCGCTTAATTATACCCACATTATAAATCAATATCTAAACTAAAAAAAATGAAATATCTCATCCAATTGTAAGAAGTTGTACTTTTATGACAATTTTGAACTCACACATTATAAATGTTCATCGAGATTTTTTGTTTTTTCTTTTATATCAGGTTTATGTAAACGATTTAAATGTCAGGAGGGCACATTATATGACGGGGACTTGTGGAGATGACAATGCAATTGCAAGACACGGGAACATGGATTTTATAGGTGTTTTAGTGGAGAATGGATTAGGTCAGTAACCTTATGGTGAGTAACCATGAGTAACCCGTCCACATCAGCATGACATCAGCATCCTCTCTCTCATGGAAAGCCTTTAATTTTTCTCTTTTTAATCTTTGACGGACGATTTCTCGCTCATTTTAAGTCGAAATTTAATTTTTTTTTGCACAGTTAGATCAGATTAATTGTGCTCTTCAAAATGATATTCACTTTAATATATTTTTCGAACAAAAAAAAATTGAGCCATTTTTTACCAGCCTATACCATATGGTACTGACTGGTATTGAAATAAAAGCATACCTATGTTTTGAAAAACGTACCATGGTGGTATGAACAAACCAATACTGTAGGATGGTTGAATACATGATAATAGAAGTATATTAATTGTAATTGACGACTTTTAACATTGTATACCACACAATACCACCCCGTACCAGGGTGGTATTGTATGATATTTTTTGGTCCTGTAATTTGTTCACCCAGAAATTTATAGATCCAATAGATCATGATGAACTCGTCCCTTCTGTGCAAACGTTTTCAAAAACGAATTAAAAACGAAGAAGATACCATACAATACCACCCCGTACCAGGGTGGTATTGTATGGTATTGTGTGGTATTTTTTGGTCCTGTAATTTGTTCACCCAGAAATTTGTAGATCCAGTAGATCATGATGAACTCATCCCTGCTGTGCAAACGTTTTCAAAAACGAATTAAAAACGAAGAAGATACCATATGGTATGCAGTTGGTACCGAGAGGCCAGAATTTTTTTTTCCTAAAAAAATATCGAAAATTGATCTCATTTTGTAGAGCACGGTGAACTCGTTCCATCTGTGCAAAAAAAATTAAAATCCGAGTTAAAACGAAAAAGATATGAGTCAATTAAGAAAGCTAGTGAAAATAAAAATAGTCTTTAATTCTCCATCCTTATATCTGGATTTTCTAAATGAAGGGTCCATATTTGGTTATTGATAGGTGCATAACCACGGGTTATGCACCCTATCTTGAGCCGTTTTAGTGGACCTCTCGCATCCAATTTATTGTAAGATGTAGGAATTCATAATCTCACCATAGCAATTGATGAAAGTTCAAATAAAATTTCACCGTATATAGCCTATGTTTAGTGTGTTAAACAGGGACCAGTTACGGTAACAACACTCCTTGTGTTGTTATTGTAACAACACTAGTCTCCAACCAATAGGAAGCTAGGGTTATGATGACTTTTTATTAGATGAGTTGACCTAGTGTAAAATCAAAGCAGGGGTATAATTGTCATTATGAAAAATATGTTTAAATAATAAAAAAAATTAAAAAATTAAAAAAAAAATTAAAAAATACAAAAAATATTTTTTTATTTTCGGACCAAAATTTTGGTCGCCGGAATTCGGCCACCGGTCGCCGGAATCCGGTCACCGGAATATGCTTTTTTGTCGCCGGAATATGCTATTTTGTCATCGGAATATGCCACCGTCGTCGGAATATGCTCACCGTGGTCGGAATATGCTTATCGGCGTCGGAATCTAGTCATCGGGGCCGGAATATGCTTATCGGCGCCGGAATCTACTCACTGACGGTCACCGGAGTTCGGTCAACGGTCTTCGTTGACCGGTCAACGACCAACGACCACCGGATGTTATGGTCTGCATTGTGAGATTTATGGTTTGGTTTCTCATATTTTTGTATGCCTTTTGTGGTTTGCTTTATCGTGTTTGTGGTTTGCATTAAGAAGTTTCTGGTTTGCTTTATCGTGTTTGTGGTTTGTATTGAGAAGTTTCTGGTTTGCTTTAAAAAACTTTGTGGTTTGCATTGTGAGGTTTCTGGTTTGTTTTAATATATTTGTGGTCTGCATTAGGACGTTTATGGTTTGGTTTTTTGTGGTTTGATTTACTATGTTTGTGGTTTGCATTATGAGGTTTCTGGTGTGCTTTCGCAAATGTTGTGGTTTGCATTGTGGGGTTTCTGGTTTGTTTTAGGGGATTTGTGGTCTGAATTAGAAGGTTTTTGGTATGTATTAGGTGGTTTCTGGTGTGCTTTAAAAATAAGTGTGGTTTGCTTCGTGGGGTTTCTGGTATGTTTTAGGCGATAAGTGGCCTGTATTAGAAAGTTTTTGGCACGCTTTAGAAATAATTATGGTAAGCTTTATGACATTTCTGTTACGTTTCAAGAGATTTTTTGTTTGCATTCGACGATTTTTGGCGTGCATTCCAATGAACTTGAGGATCGGAACTCATAAAAATATGCCCACTTTCAATGATTTCAATTGGATAGAAATAAGATTGATGCTCCAAAAACACAATTACATCTCAAAAGCTACATAGAACAAACCACAAAACAACACTATCACTTCCCAAAGTGTTGGTGAACAAGAACAGAAGCTTGCCACTACTTAGAGGCAGTAAAGGAGCGACGCCGCTCTACATGGCTGTGCTTTTGGGGAAAAGAGATGTGGCTTGGTATCTTTACTCTGTTACAGAAGACAGTGCTCTTTCCGGAGAGGATCGAATTGGACTTCTTGTGGCTGCAATCACATCCGATCTATTTGGTACCTTTGACCTTAACTTCGACTACTCGTTAAGCTACTGTTTTGTACTCTGCAGATGCCCATAGTAGTAATAAGTACTAACCGCATGCAAAAAGCCTTTCTATTGCAAGGCGAAGAGCCATCCTCCTTGGGTCCACCGCATTGGTGGCGGATTCTTTGTTCGCCTCTTTCGGTTCCGCTTCAGTCTCCGCCGCCATTGCTGGACAACTCCAAGCGGAAGACCTCGAACAGGAAGAAGATCGAACTGTCCGCCTATTGGAGGTTATTAATAACGCCCTCAATCGTCGCCGCCGCCACACATGGGAGAGAAGATGCGAGACGGAACTCGACCATGGGATGTCGGCAAACTGAAAGCTCGTTTGGAGGATTGATCGGCGCCGGAAGCAGGAAAAACGACTTGGATGGAGGGAATTGAGGGGTGGAGGAGAAGATTGTTGGTCGAAGTTCGTATCGGCGCTGGCGCCGGTGGAGTTACAATGAGGAGGAACGGAAGAAAGTCAGATGCGGATGGAAAGGAACGAAGGAGAAGAAGGGTTTCAAATAATTAATTTAAATTTAATTTGTTATTTATTGTCTGTTTACGATTTTGCCCTTAATGAATATTGTTGTTACTATAACAACATTATATGTGTTGTTATTCTATCTTATCCCTGTTAAACATCAGTCCCGCTATCTGAGCAGTCATCAAGTGAAGGAAACACCAAAAGACTAGATCTCTGGCCGCTTATGCTCAAACACAACCTGCAAAGGTGAAGAATATATCCAAGTAAGTAGCTTAATATTGAAGTCCCAGTCCTTCCAATTAAAGAACAAACTGATTTCAAAAGGTTTTGTAGCATAATATAGCCAGATACAGATGAGTCACAGAGCTTCTGCCATATACATCAAACCGTCAGGTTACTAATTAGTTAAATTTGGCCACCGATAACTGACCGTTCACTGTTTAATCTTTTATCGGTGCAACAATTAACCGTCACTTACCGGTTCGGTTATCGGTTACACCGCAAACAAGATAACTGTTTAACAACCCTAGATGTCTAGATGTGGTTGTTGATCACTGTTCTGTTCATTGAGATGATAACTGCTACCTGGTCCTAAAAATCTGCTTCTCTTACTTCCCGCTTCTTTAGTCATTTCTCCCCCTTCAATCAAACCCTAAAATAGCAACCCAGTTCCAAACACAATTTCTAACTTAGCATCAGACATGGTCATTTTTCATACATACTTGTACATCAAGTCATCAACCGCGACATATTACGACGCATTGCGCTATGTTGGTTTGTTTCTATGTCATTACAATACCAAGACTACATATGTACCTTTGTTCTTCAAGTATAGTTAAGTATTTACACCTTATCCTCTATGCCTCGACGCAAATCTTTGGACCCTTTGCACGCCCAGCATTTGCGGATTTGGCTTGCTCTACATATCGCCATACTTCTTGCATTGCCTGTACACTTCTACATCCCAAAAAACATGGACCAGCCTCAAAATGGTCCCCCGAAACACGTCACTGGCTTGCTAACTCGTCTCGTAGCATGCAAGCACTATAATCTCGAGCGGCGAAAGCGTTTCAAGGCCTGGAGATGCGGGCGCTTGCCAGCAGAAGCAACAGGTTTCCCATTGAGGCATCCAGAAAACCTGATATCCCATCCGTCCACATACTTGGGGACGCAAACATCGAAGAGTGCCTGGCCAAGAACGCCATGAGCGCTGATTCTGGGGGGGCTCGTTAGGTTTATGGAGGAGCTGGCTTTCCCTTCATCTTGTGGAGATTCCGACTCTTTGTTGTTATAGTCTTTGGAAGAACTTGGTGCAAAGAAGTCATCATTGGGCAGAACTGGTGGAACTCTTTTCAACCCTTCGTTTGAGTCGACTGCCACTTGCTGAAGGTCGCATACTAAGTTTGATATTTTGTGATGCATATCATCCATCTTTAACCCCTCTTCTAGTTGTTGGATTCTTTGACAGTAAACTGATGCAGCTTTCTCTAGGAAATTGGTCACTGCAGTGCTGTATGGGGTTGGATGATGCTTGTAGTGACCTGGGAAAACAAGATCATGTAGGGTGCAACCTCATAATTAGCTGAGCACAAAATCACGAGGCAGATTTGATCATATAGAAGACAAAAGAAGGAAAAGAATACAAAACAGACCTAGGTGAGGAGAAGAATGCAACTTCAGAAGAGCGACATCTGCCCCGAGTACTTGTAGCTGTTGGCTGAATTCACAGATAACGTTACAAGGTGCAACCTCATCATTAGCTGAGCACAAAATCAGGTATGGAGCCCCCAACTCCTGAGAAAAGAGAAAGCGAGCACACAAGCCCAATCAAAAAGATGGATTAAAGCAAAGGCTTCAAAGGACAGAGTTGGTACGGGTTCCAACTTACAGCTGAAGAGTACAGATTCTGCCAATACTGTGCACGCTGGTACTCAAACCTAGTAAGGTGCAAACCGTCAAGACCAGAAGTGACCCCTTTTGCCAACCAAGACATGAATTTTGATGGGCCGGGCATTTTCTGAATGACAGGAAGAGCAAACTGGGCAGCCAAATCACTTGTAAAGTCTACTGGGCTAGAATCATAGATATGCCCAGAGAAACAGTTTCCAACTAAACGGCTTTCATCCTGCACCAAGAAAGGAAGCAATTAGAACGAGAGGGACGAAGTAAGAGGAGATGTCATGCTACGGAGATATAACTACTACACAAGGAATACATACCAGGTTAAGGTGACCTTCACATGACCCTTGGATAATCTGCATAATGCAAAGCTTTAACCAATTAATCCAGTTGAAAAATGACAACAACAAAAGAGGAAAAAAGGAAAAAGTTCAGAGAGCTTACCTGAAAAACCTTGGACATGCAAGCTTTTGAACCACCAGAAAGAGCCACAAAGACAACTGGACATGGCCGAACCCTTAGCTCCTACATACATAAAGTTTTGATGATGAACAACTATTTCAATTACATCATCAAATTTTAAAGAAAGAAAACACCCCTAGAACCTCCCCTGTTCTACCACCCTGATCATAGATAGTAAAAGTGGCCGTCTTCAGTAAAGGCCATTTGAACAAGACAGCGGATTTCGATATTACTATACAGCTCGTCTGCTCGTGCAAGGTTCGAGTCCATATGCCTAATTTGAGATGTAAGCCTAGAATCGTCCACTATGACCACCCAGTAAACCAAGACAGTATGTAAAGTTAGCTAACCTGGACGAGTTCACTGAGGAGGAGAAAAGCCAAAGAAATGGCTTTATCAGGATCAAACCTGCATAAAAAAAAAACAGAATATCATCGAGCATCAAATGTACTAACCCAGTTCCTGAATCCAAAAGAGACAGAATTACATAGATGCAAACCAGTATGCACAGACCAGTACCATCTTTCATACACAATATAGAATTCTCAAAACCTGAATCAACCTAACCACACTAAATTCCACGCAGAGCAACTGGAACAAGCACATCTGTCTATATTACGTATAGAAATCCATGTTTGGCAACCTGAAACTTGCCGTGATTAAGCAAGTTCTTCATTTCCGTTTCCCCCACATAACATCCTGAAACTTGCAGTCCTTCTTTTCAGCTCAAATTCCCCCCTCATTTAACCAAAACACAGAGACAAAGCAAGCAAGCAAATAGAGAGAGAGAGAGGGTTACGCGGTGAGGAAATCGGCATGGGAAACGAGAGAATTCCAGCCGAGGGAGGAATACAAATCGACGAGGCTCCTCAAATCCACCGGGTGAGCGGAAACCCAAGCGAATATCACCGCGATCCCTCTGAATTCCCTCCTCCTCCTCCTCCTCCCCCAGTACACACTCCCTCCTCCGCCGCCGCCGAACATTGCTCTCGCTCTCGTTCAGGTTCAGCTGAAGATGAAGATGAAGAAGAACCGATAGAGGATGGCACTAAGTCAGGTATTGCATCCGGATTTTGGTTTCTCTGCTTCTCTACTTTTCGATTCTGGTTTTCGTAGCAAGCGCTCATTTGAGGAAGCTTTGTGGGCTCCAGTGACGCTGCTGGTGGTGCGGGTGATCCAGTTGGGATGGGGATGATTATTATTTTATATTATTTTGTTGTAATCCAGTTAATATTAACTTTCATCATCATTCATTAGTCCGCTACCTTTTTTAAGTTAATCTTAGGTTGATCTAAGGCAAAAGCAAACACACGTCACGACAACTTTTTTTTTAAAAAATATTGGTAATGATTATAAGATTGAGTCATTTGAAAAAAAAAGGGAAATTTGATAAATTAGTCGGTTATTTTTACCGATTAATGAAAGAGCTCAATGGAAGAAGGAAAAAATGCATGTTCGATTTTTTAGGAGGCTCGACCATTTGTGCTCCTCTCTCGACTCACGTTTCTTATGCCGATATGTGTTCCTCTCTGTTGAAATTCTCTTGTTTCCTATGCCGATTTCCTCACCTCTTTCGTTAAGGCTTCCTAACAACAGAAATCAATGATCAAAGTCGCAGGTCGAATCGTCAATGGGACAGTACGGACGCGATACAATCTAATACGCTTTCAATTATTAGGGGTTAATTGCAAGAATGGTCACTGGGTTTACTAAAACCGTTCATGTTTGGTCACTGAAAATATTTAATTCCATTCATGGTCACTAAGATTAGTTCAATAGTTCAAGTTTGGTCACTCTCCGTTAGTCTCTGTTAGTTTTTGCTGATGTGGCAGTCAACTATTATAGTTGACCGTTAAATGAGTGACGTGGCCAATAAAAAAATTAAAAAAAATAAAATTTAAACATCTACTATTTCCACCTCATTTTACAACTATTAAAAAATAAAAATAAAAATAAAAATAAAACTTACTCCTCCCAAAAAAATTCATTATCGCTCCTCTTTCCAGCTCCCACTCTTACTCCCTCATCTGCTGTCTGCTTACCCTACTACGACTACCAATTCCAAACCGAACCTTTGAACACGGCGGAATCGAGCAGTGCTACCGGCGTGGTGGCTAGGGATGTGTCGGAGATGGGTTCAATACAACCGTGTCTCGCATGGTTGGAGTGGGCCCAGACTGGTGGTGAGTTAGAGGTACTCGAGGGAAGTGATGGAGCCGTGGAGATGGGTTCAACGCAGCCCTGCACTGCATGGCTAGAATGGGCGAATGGCTGATTCACCTCCCTCAACATCTCCCTCCGCAGCTCCGGCTCCACACTCACCGTCCCCTCCCAGCTCAGATCCGCCGCCGCCGCGGCGGCCGCGCTCGGGTTCAACCCTAATTTCTCAATTCAGAACCGCCGCAGCCTCTTCGGCCTCGATCCGCAGCCCACGACGTCGTTTCTCAACTTCCAGGGTGGGAATTTCGGGAATAATCAAACGTCGTCGTCGTCGAAGCAGGAGGTGAGGGAGAGCTCGGAGGAGGCGGCGGCGGAGGAAGGGGGGATGATGAGCAGGAAGCGGAGGAATAGCGAGGAGCATCTGGATTTGTCGTCTTCTTCGAATCAGCAGCATCAGATGAGGGAGTAAGAGTGGGAGCTTGAAAGAGAAGCAATAACGGATTCCTGGTAATTCACTCTCATCAATTGCACAATCCTTTCCCATCTTCTCGACTCGATTTGCTCTACTTTAGTAGCGCCGAATCCATCTTCTGGTATTTTTTTATCTCAATTGCATCGGATGTTGGTTCGTTGGTTTGGATGGATTGCTGTTAGCTAGTTAGGGTTTATTACTGCTTCGTCTATTTCAATCAATTTGGGGGTAAAATTAAAGAAGAGAAAAAACAGAACATAAGCAAGCAAGGAGAAAGGATACGAAATTGTGAATGTATGGAGGTAAGTTTTATTTTTATTTTTATTTTTTAATAGTTGTAAAATGAGTTGGAAATTGTAAATATTTAAATTTTATTATTTTATTATTTTTTTATTGGCTACGTCACTCATTTAACGGTCAACTATAATAGTTGACTGCCACATCAGCAAAAACTAACGGAGACTAACGGAGAGTGACCAAATTTGAACTATTGAACTAATTTTAGTGACCATGAATGGAATTAAATATTTGCAGTGACCAAACATGAACGGTTTTAGTAAACCCAGTGACCATCCTTGCAATTAACCCCAATTATTAGATGGATGATTATGTGAAAAACGTTATATATAGTATCTATGTCCTTACGGTTAAAATTGTTGTATATGTGATTCAAAGATATTGATGCCTTCTCCATCAATATGCCAACCAAGGAACCATCATTTACAGCCAGGAACCATCATTACAACTCAAAAAAAAATAACCAATTGAATTTGCAACCCAAAACAACCTGATCTAGGTATCAATCATAGATGAAATACATGGGAAAAACGTGTATATTAACACGATGCAAAGGTCAAAACGGACATTTTCGACTTCCTGTTACGCATATTAGGGGTTCGAAATACGCCACGAATAGAAGAGTTCAGAACCAACTAAGGTAAATTGTCTAATCAGCAAAAGGGTAGAGACTGGGCATGTTGTAAGCGCCTCTGCCGCTTCCATTAGAATCCACCATGGGGTAGTGATGCATTGGCGACTGCAGCTCGCCCGAGTGAGAAGACGACGACGACTTCCTAGACGTCTGTGGAGAACCTGCGTAGAATCCGTTTAAGCTGTTGCCGCCTCCTGCATACATTGAAGAGGATAGAGGGAATCCTTGCATTTTCGGCAACCCCGTTGTATCAGAACCAGAGCTGTGCCCTCTTTCCACGGATTCAGCTTCCAGCGGTAGTTCTTCCAATGTCTGTTGTTGGTAAAAGAGAGAAAGAAGAAGCGAGAGTTAAGCGCGATGGAGGTTTCGGAACTTGTGTGATCATACAAGCAAACCATTACAGGTAGGAACTTACTCGAAATGCTTGTTGAAGGACTTTGAGGGTATCTCTTGTCCGCTTTCTCTTCACTGAAATCTCGTCGGGCTCTTGCAACATCTCCTCAAACAAGTTCTCCCTGGAAATGAGAAGCACGATATGATTAGGAGGAGAGAAACAAAATTACAATAGGCATGAATTACATTAGAAACTTGATATTACCTGTAAAGCTTCTTAATCAAGACATTGTGCAGCTCTCGTTTGGCATGCTGTACCTGGAAAAATGTAAAGGTCGACTACGCATAAGTAAGAGAACTTCAGAGAACAAGTTGCTGACAATAGTCACTTTATTCAAGTGCCTAATGAAGCATTTACCAGAAAGTGCATGATAGTTTTTGGCACTAAATCCTCAATGTTCTTCCGAACTATATTGTAGTACGACGTCAATAGCAATTTAATGACTTTGATTTCAACAGCCTCCTGCTCCGAGGGGGTATCTGAAGGTCTCAACATTTCTGGTGGCTAGGGAACAGGAAAACAGAATCCAGTCAGCGACATAAGAAGCAACAGAGCACAACAGGAGGCAGTGAGTTAGAAACAGCTAGTTCATCAAACCTCTTGCAAATGGATCACAGACAGGCTCTTGTCCAAAGGGTCACTTCCATGAACTGCCTCCATATATCCCATACTTGCTGAGTTCTCAGATGACATACGGGAACTATTACTTCCCTTGAAAATTGACGAAATGCCCCATGAAGAGCCGCTATGATTTCCTGGAACCAAAACATCAATTATCTCAAAGAGCATGCAATTGGAAAGCATTTGAACATGCCAAAATGCAGAATTGGGCGATTCTTTTGGAAACCAAATTTTGAATTTTATAACTATTTACCGGATGGTGCAACCTTCTCGGCATCTGCCACTCGGCGTACTCCCTGTAACATGGCAATTGCATAAAAAAGAAGGAAAAAAAAGGGGCTTGTTAGTAACAGCAACGAAGAAAGAACAATAGTAAGCTTGTTGAGTCTCAAAGGACAACAATAATATAGAATGAATAGTATTATCATGCCTGATCAGGCGCAAACCCATTGACAGGTCTGCCAAGAATGGCTCGAGACTTCAGACTCCTTTCGGAGGATGGTGCTTTATCAGCTTCAGTGACATCCTATTTAAAGTCATAGCATAAAGTTAGACGTGAAGAGAAAAAAGAGGTCCTAGAAGGTCCTTCTATAGAATAACTAACAAACTGAGAGAACAACCCATTGTACGGAGAAAAATGCTGACCTTTGGCCTCGAGATTGCAGGATTAAGTTTTGATGTCTTTACTTGTTGCTCCGCAACTTCCACAGCATTGGTCCCTCCAATAAAATTTGGGTGGGAAGTATTTATGTAGTCCATCTATAAAGTACCCAAAACTTATTAGGTATTCCAAAAGGGAAAACAACTGGGATACATGTTAAGAAGCAATAAAATCGAGAAACGAGGGAACAAAAAAACAAGCAAGACTTAAAGCATTAGGAGGTGAATATACCTCCATTTCAATAAGATGCCCAATCATTGTCTCCGATGGTTCAAGCCCATCCCGCAAAAAGTTCCCAATGACTTCATCCATGCGTTTTTTAAGAATAGGAAACCGCTGCAGCTCATTGGCTAGACAGCGATGGCTAATCTGGAGAGACAGAGAAACATTGATACCAGACCAGAATATTAATGAGAAATAAGCAATGGAAAAAACTACAAGGAAAAGCTTCTACCTTTAGTAGCTCATCATATATGAATCTTGCACACTGCAGGCTTGGATACAATAGCCGGGCAATTTGCCTCCGAACAAGAACTTCAAAAGGAATCTGTACATAGTAGGAAGGAAAAACAATTATTATGATACCAATAAAAGTGAAGGTAACAATAGCATCAGCGAAATATGAACAAAACTGCAATAAGAATAAATCAGATTTCACAAGCCTAACCAGACAGAAATATACAACGGAGAAGAAAAGGAAGAACTTACAACTGGCACAAACAATGCAGCATTAGAACCACAAGCATTTCGAATAGCAGTTCGGATGTCATCATCTGTCAGATCTTCACAAGGATCAACCCCCTGCAGTGACACATCAGGTGGTACATGTTCGTTATTGGATTAAAATTGTCAAACTTACACAAAAACACGCTGCAACCACCAAATAGAAGAGCTTGCACATAAGCCAATAATTAATTGATACTTCTCTAAAGCTTATTACGAGCATAGGGGCACCCAGAAACGAAAAGATGGATTAAGCTCCGAGTTTCAAGACATGCAATTTACTAATTCTGAAAAGTAGCATAAGCATGCAAAGACAGTGCCATCTTCATATTCCCTTTATACAGAAAGCACAGCTGTAAGCAATCATCGTACAAACCTCCAAACTCTTGACAAAAATTGACTGGAAGACATATTTGATGCGCGCTAAACCAGACAGCTGAGTTGTTGATGTTTCTTCATTTTCCCCCTCCAACATTGAAGAAAAAGCTGCCCAACAAGAAAAAACTTACAATCAAATCCAGCATATGCAGAAAAAAGAAAAAGAAATGAGGTGGTTACATCGGACAACCAATACTCCATTAAGAAACCCAGATATACCTTTCCCATATTTTGAAAAGATATTCAACAGAAGAGCACCTTGACCAGCCTACAATTAAAAAAGTCAATAAGCAAGTCTATCAAGGAGAACGACAAAATGATTCCCAAAAGCAGTAAGACAATAAGCACCTTAGACTCAGTGATTTCTCCGTAGCTGGCATGCTCCTTTGCAACAGAAACAAGTGCATCACTTATCCGTGATTTCAGCACTGGGAGAATCCCTTTGATATGCTGCACTAAAATCTGAAAGAGACGAATAGTAAAAACTGTTACGCGTGGAGACCAGTATGAACTCTCCAAATATTAGGAGAGCAAGGAAATTAACATCAATTGCATGGAAATAATTATAAGACAATAACATTAATAGAATATGATTGCAGGAAGAAATAACACCATCAACAAAACAAAAATAACAAACAAATTATGGTGATGGTTATGATGATGATTATAATAATGGCCACACGTTTTCATATTAAGTGCAATGTGATTGAATCATCCGATTATGTGGAGTAAGGCATCCTTAGTAGTATAATTTCCAGGATAAAATTACATACATGATTCAACTTCTTGGCAAGCTGAGGAATACCGCATCGATCAGCCAAGGAATTGTATACCTGGAAAAAAATCACATGAATTGATGAATCATCCTATCAAACCAATTAACCATGAGAGACATCAGTTAATGGAACTGTGTGATAGGAAACGTCATACTGGATGAGAGCGAAAGAACCTCTCCTCTGCTGCAAGTGCATCCTTAATAGTTCGATTGAGATTGATATCCTGCAACACATTAAATGATTATATCAGCCAACATGTAACGTCAACCAATATCCAAAAGAACTAACAAAACATGCCACTTTAACCAAGCCCGCATAAAATGGTAACCAACAAATTACCTCTTGACTACGATTCACAACACCAACATAACCAAGTCGAAGGGGAATCACTTTTCCAAGTAACAAGTTACGGGCATCAGTGCCTCTATCCATGATATCCAGCTGAAGTCGACAAAGAACATATCAACTACCACACAGAAAAATGTATTTGAAATGATAAATTAGAGAAAACAGGATGCAGAGCGAGAAAGTAACCTTTGTGATAATGCCAATTGTCCTGTAACCTGCAATAAACTAAAATGTCAGTATTGCAAAGCAATCATGAAAAAAGGCATTGAGGATCAAGTTTCAAAAGCAAGGTACCATCAGGATCAGCAATTCCTGCAATCTGAAGTGCATCTGAGTTCGCCAAATCCGCATTGGCAGCAGTGACAGCCAGAATAAGGCAGCTAGGTTTTTTAATGTACGACATGATCATTGTTCTAATTCTTGATTCAATATCCGTGGGTTGATCACCAACAGGCACTTTTGTTATCCCGGGAAGATCGACAAGTGTCATGTCAAGAACATTTGGGGAGAAAATCTTCAAACGGATCTGCTTGTCTGAGACACCTTTGTTGTCTCCTGCTTCCTTAGCTGTTACAGCCTACATCCAGTTCATTCACATATAAACAGTAAGTAGGACTTGGAGACAGGTTTTACAATAACTTAGTCTAGCTCTCTGAATTATATACAAAACATTCTCGACGCAGTTTGAAGACACAATTCTCGAGGAAGTGTCGCATGATAGCAAGCAACATAAGAGAATCATAAGCATGATTATCAAGTAAAGCTACTAAGTTTTTGGGCTCACGTAACAATCTCATCACAAAATCAAGCTACTGCACATAAGAGTGCATTGTGCGTGATGCAGTAACGCTAGATGTGACACCGAATTCCTATAATGTCTAACCAATAAGCTCCCCTGGAGTAGTGTAAAATGGTTCACCCAACGTTCAGGACTCAATCTACCATTACAGACCCTAACTTCATTCACGTCCTACAGCTATCCTACAGGACGGCTTTTTTCCTAACTAGAACGCCACAATCACAGCAGCAATCCACGGCAGACAAATAGGAAGGCTTTTTCCTTCCTACGATGGTTAAGCAACACAGAAATTGAAGCTAAGGGAGTTCAGATAATAGAATCCCTATTCCCTACAGAATCACAGAATTAGAACTGAAAGGAAGCAGCAACTTGCACTAACAATCTAGTCAGAAATAACAGGTACTTGCATACTCCAAAACTATGAACAGAACACAAACACGGCTAATTTATAGTCTCAAGTTCAGATAGCAAGAAATAAAGAAGCAACAACAATAAGAAAAGATTCTCTAACCAGAACACACCTCAATTTCTCTGCGGATCTCCGAGAAATCATAGAAGCGCATATCCGGACGGTGGAGGAACTCCCCCCACTCCTCTTCAATCCCGTCGCCCTTCCTCTTCGTCTGCACCAACTGCAACACCAGCGGCCGGCGCGTGCAGATATCGCTCCCGCGCGGCAGGAAATCCCTCCCGACCAGAGCCTCGAGAACGCTGGATTTGCCGCTGCTCTGGCTGCCGACCACCGCCACCTGCGGCAAGTCAATCGTGGACTGGCTTCCAAGCTGAGCGAAGATGTCCTGGAGCTTGTTGACGATGGGGATCACCGAGGATCCCAGCGGCGCCGCCGATTGCGACGGCGATGGTGACGCCGGCTCGTCGGCCATTGCTATGGATTCAACCGCAGAGAGAGAGAGAGAGATGAAGCGGGAAGAAGATGCCTAGGGTTTTGGAGACTCTTTGAGAGAAACAGGGAAAGAAGGTTTTCGCCTTTTTGCTTCTTCCTTAATTCACTCTTTTGAGTTTCTCTGTGTTGAGAGAGACGGAAGAGATTATGGAGGCTTTTTGTCTGTCAGGTGAGTTTAAGTTGGAGTTAAAATGTGTCTAATCGGAGCTGGCTTACGAGCCACGTTCCGGACTTCCGGTAACGACTGGAAAAAAAAAGAGAGCGAGCGTCGAGTGGGGACACGTAAAGACAGATAATTTAAATTAAGTACCTAAAATTGTATCTTCTGCCTAAGTGAATATTCATCATAGGTTAGAACTGCACTACAGTCTGACCATATACTTCAAAAGGTGAAGAATAAAGAATAGTTTTGACTACTATTATTGGTTATTGTGTTGTGCAATACCCATTGAATATTGGATATTGGTATGCAAATTATTGTTAATATCCATTAAATATTGGGATACAAAGAATAAATTATTAATTGTATCAAAAATCACAAATTATTGATACAATCTTACTAATTTGCTATGAACTTATTATAAATGTTAGTCAATTTTCTTAATGGCTAGTTGGAGAATTGCTTTTGCGGGTTAACCCGAAACCCAACCGCACCTATCCACCACCCACCCAACCCGCATAAGTATGTGGGTGGATTGCGGGTCACATATATTCCAACCCGCTAGTAAGGGGTGGGTCAATTTTAGACCAAAATCCACTCAACCCACTCATTGTCCAGCCCTACCTAAAAGTTTTAGCACTCATTGTCCAGCCCTACCTAAAAGTTTTAGGCTAAAATGTTTGATTGTTTGTATACTCTCAAAAGGGTTGAGGGTTAAATATGTATGATATGTTACAAATGCACCACACACTGATCTTCGACTTCTATAACCGGAAAACACGAAGAACAGTTTTGATTATTATTATTATTTGTTAGTCGTATAATGTCCATTAGATATTGAAATTCAAATTTCAAAACATTAATTGTATCAAATTCATAAAATCGTCAATTTTCTTTGTCAGTAAATACTTCATTTAAAGTGGTCAAATGAAATGTTGGTACAAGCAATGAAATACATTGCACGTATGAGTACTAGTAGGATCGATGGAAGACAAAGCGAGAAACGCATAAATTACTAAAATATTATAAATTTACGATAATTTATTATAAATGTTATTCAATATACACAACGACTAGTTGAAGAATCGTTTCTCGGGTTTAACATACAAGTCATTTGCAAGAATCTAAAGAAGAACACAAATAGATAATTAATCACAATTGTGATGGATCAATTCGAGATCGAAACCTAGCGTTATAAATTAGAGGCTGTGATTCCTACAAAATTCAGAAGTGAAAGGCCTACTTGTCTCACCATGAAAATAGAATATCCTAGACAAGATCAAAGCCCTGCCAGATTAAAGCATCAATGTCGATAATAATACAGTGGAAACTACAATTTGTGTCTCCGATAACCTCTCTATCACGTCACCTATTCGTTATGGGAATTCGACAAACAAATCTCAGAACCATAATTAATTTACACAAATACCCCTCCCTATCTTGCTGGCTGACAATGGAAAACCACCACCAACAAGGCAACAACTTATTCCCAAGAGCATCTCTTTTCTAAACCAAGGGAAAAAAAGACCACTTGCGCTTGGCAACCGAATCCTGCCCACCACCACACTGGCAGAGTATAAATTATCATCAGAAACATGTATTCTACTTCTATGACAACCCTTTGGTTCCTGAAAGATATCACTAATACCTCTAAAGAAGCAATCAATCAATCAATCAATCGTTGTTTTGTCGAATCAGTCGACGGAAGGATAGAGACCTTGCATGTAAACACCCCTGCCGCTGTTACCATTCGAATCAACACCGGTGGAAGAATGTGATTGCAGTAGCTCGCCGGAGTGGGAGGACTTCCTCGACCTTGGGTTACTCGGAGAAGAGTGATACCCGTTCGAGCTCGTGGTTGTTCGAACTCTAGGCAAACCGATTGTATCAGCAACCGTGCTGTGTCCCCTTTCGAGTGACTCAGCTTCCAATGGCAGTTCTTCCAGTGTCTGTGATGGCCGAAATGAAGGGTGAGAAATATGGGAAGCACTAGAATGTTTACATTGATGGGGTACTGCATCTGCTGGAACTTACCCGGAAAGCTTGTTGGAGGACTTTGAGTGTTTCTCTCGTCCGCTTTCTCTTCAGTGCAATCTCGTCGGGCTCTTGTAGCACCTCTTCAAAGAGATTCTCTCTGCCAGGAAATGAAAAGCAGAGGTGGAAAGAGAACGAGTGAGTGTTTGGATGGTAACTTTAGCTAGGACCGCAAGCAATCAATGTACAACAATGCATTTTACCTGTAAAGCTTTTTAATCAGAATGTTGTGCAATTCACGTTTCGCATGCTGAACCTGCACAGTGAAATGTGAGATGAAGACTTGGAACGAGCAGGGAAAGGAGAGCAAAAACAGAAAGCTTTAAGGAATGCGAGATACATAAAGAGACGATTTCACATGGAGCGTCTATGTAAACTTGAGTATTATGACCTTTCATAATAAAGAGATAACAAATGCTACTAGTTCGACCTAGAAGACTGCATTCAGTTTCAGCCTTTCAGGAATCAAAACCCATGATAAGTTCACAACTCTTTCATGCCATAGCATAAGAAACATAGGGGAGGTTTGTAACCCTGTGACTGTTAGGATACGTAGCAATTAGCAACCGGCACCTTGCTCAACATAGGATAGACCAGATATTCTTGATTGACATGAAACCAATCTGTCTAAAAACTTGTTCCAATTTCAAGGATAACATTTAGCAAGATTCTGCAGCTAGTGAGAAAAACTGGAAGAAGAGCACAAGGATGGGTATGGCCACAAGGTAAGGACTTACAAGAAAGTGCATGACGGTTTTCGGCACTAAATCTGAAATGTTCCTCCGAACAATATCATAGTATGATCGCAATAGCAACTTAATGGCTGTAATTTCAATAGACTCCTGCTCAGAAAGGCCTTCTGTAGGTCTCAAGATTGTTGGAGGCTAGGTACACAGTGAACAAATTCTAGTCAGCATGTAAGAAGCAGCCGCTGAGTAAAACTCACGCAGACAAGGCAGTAAAACTGTTTCTTAGATGATGTGAATCTCCAAACCTCTTTTAATCGGATAACAGAGCTGCTACTCTTGTCCAAATAGTCATTTCCGTGAGTAGGCTCAACATGTGCTTTGCTTGTTGAACTCTCCTTGGAAAAACTAAGGGAACTATCACTTCCGCCAAAAATTGATGAAATGCCCCAGGAAGATCCACTATGGTTCGCTAATCACAATGCAATTTGTTAAACAGTTAGTGAAAGGGTACATGTACATATTTTAAGCTTGAAAAACAGAACCTCAAATAGATTTCTGGATCTTTGCCCCAACTTACCAGAGGGCCCAACCTTCTCAGCATCTGCAACCTGGCGTACCCCCTGTAAGTCATTGGGGAACAAAATAATCAGAAAATAATTGATCATGAAAACAATAATAACATCAGAAGACATAGAAGGCAAGAGAAAGTGGAGGAAGAAGAAGAAGAGCGAAGAGAAAGCCTGAAAGCTGCAATTGTTCTTGCCTGATCAGGCATAACTCCATTAACAGGCTTGCCAATAATAGCACGAGATTTTAGGGTCCTTTCAGATGCTGGTGCTTTATCAGCTTCTACACCATCCTATTTAGGAGAACACGTCGAAAGTTAAATGTTGAAGGGAAGCAAAGAAAAGAAATGAACAGTGACCGTACAAGAAAAAATAATGAGCGAGTAATCTTATAAACATCCATGCAAATGATAATTTCTATGGGAAATGCACACCTTTTGCCTAGAGGCAGGGATGCTTAGTCTCGAAGTCTTCAATTGTTGCGCTGCGACTTCCACAGCCTTAGTCCCTCCAATAAAACTTGGGTGAGAGGTGTTTATGTAGTCCATCTACATAAATATTGAGAAAAGGAGAACCATAAGCCAAAACAAAACATGGAAATTACTCAGTACTCACCTAGACATCTCAGCTAGGCTGTAAGCCCACCAAACTGCACCAGTCATTGTTCAATAAAGCAAAAAAAAAAAAAAAAACAACGGAGAGAGTAGAAAACAAAGAGTGATACTAAGGCATTCACCCAAAAGAAGAAAAAAACTAAGTGAAGCTAAGCTAATAGACGGAAAGAAAGACCACATAGGCTGCTTCAATAAGACTTGCAGAGTAGCAAGCAACTCAATTACCTCTGTTTCTATAAGATGACCAATCATGGTCTCCGAAGGTTCAAGGCCATCACGTAAAAAGTTCCCAACAACTTCATCCATCCGTTTTCTTAGAACAGGAAACCGGTGTAGTTCATCTACCACCACTAGACACCGATGGCTAATCTGAAGATTCAAAAATCTAAATTAAAATACCCAACTATTTCAGATGCAGACAGAGAACACACTAGGGGAAAACCTGACCTTTATTAACTCGTCATATATGAACCTGGCACATTCAAGGCTCGGATCCAGCAAACGAGCAATTTGCCGACGTACAAGAAGTTCAAATGGTACCTGTGCAATAAAAGCATCAACGATGGTCAAAATTTGCTGCAAACATGATATGAGATATGCACAAACTCAGATAAATGTTATCATGAATCTTTAACTAAACAGTAACTGCATAACGGAACAAAACAAAAAGAAAGAGAAACTTCACCCACAACTGCTACAAATATTGACGATTTTGGACCGCAAGCATTTTGAATGGCAATACGAATGTCATCATCTGTCAAATCCTCACAAGGATCAACCTCCTGCATGAGAGATTAAAGTGACATTCCATTTATTAGTCATTGGGCCAAGCTTTCCAAAGAAGGCCTGAGCAAGCACACGTAGAGAGAACTTGTGCAAGCTTAGTCATAGGGAGATTGGCATGATCTTCAGAAATTCAAAGGGTAGAACTTGCGAGGGGCGCACTCAAGAATCCGACAGAATCCAAGTTCCAACTTTTGAAGCATGTAAATTGCCAATTCCAAGACAAGATGATACCAAATGAATAGTTCTTGCACATTCACAAATACAATCCAAAACGGATAATATAAACATATACACACCTCTAAAGTTCGGACAAAAATGGACTGGAAAACATATTCAATAAATGCTACGCCCGAGAGCTGGGAAGTTGACAATTCTTCATTTCTTCCTTCTAGCATTGAAGCAAAAGCTGCTCAACAAACAAAATTTACACGCAAAGGTCAACAGAAATAGAAAGACAACATATCATATATTTAATGACAATGTGGACACAACAAACCAAATAGAACAGAAACTATGACGGCCAGACTTGTATCATAAGTCATAACACAGGAAAAAGAGGGACTAGGATACACATAATTACCTTCATAGTATTTTGAGATTATGTTCAATACGAGAGCACCTTGACCAGCCTATAATATAAAAGTTGGCAAACTCAGTGAGATTACTGAACCTAAACAAAAACATGGCTAAACTAGTAAAACAATAAGTACTGAACCAATCCATAAATTTCTAAAACTGGTGCCAAGAGATTACACACCTTAGATTCAGTGATTTCTCCATAGCTTGCATGTTCCTTTGCGACACTCACAAGAGCATCACTAATGCGAGACTTCAACCCAGGAAGTAGTGCTTTAATATGCTGCACTAAGATCTGCAAGAGGCATAGGAAAAGAATCAACCACAACAGTTTAACAAGGTAAGAGATATTTTCAAACGAAACGCTTTAAAAAAGTGTAAGTAACTGTATCCGTTCATTAGCAAAATCAATTTCTTCAAAATCACGCCAAGCTTAAAAACCAAATAATGACACAATTGTCTTTCATCATCAAGAGGATGACCATTCAAGGGAAAAAGGAAACACCTTTGCATAATAATCAAAATGCACAGGAGACTTGCGCATAATATTCTAGATAATTAGATCAATGGCCAGAAAAGGTATACATTGTTCAATTTCTTTGCAAGCTGAGGAACGCCACAACGATCAGCTACAGTGCTGTAAACCTACACAAAAATAAAAGGGGAAAACAAAGTGTAAGCAAGCACATCCATACATAATACAAAAATAGAAGAATCGGCAAACCAACTTCGATTACAGTAAAACGAAACAAAGAAATGAGGAATAGAACAATCATACTGGATGGCTGCGAAAAAACTTCTCTTCTGCGGCCAATGCATCCTTAATACTTCGGTTGAGATTAATGTCCTGAGTTAGAGTCACATGATGCATCAGACAGAAGAAACATCCAAACATTGGTCTCTGAAAAATATATCGGTTGATACTTTCTCCACTTGCAAGTAAACCAGTAAAAGAAATCCATATTCAGCCATGATTACCTCTTGACTACGATTCACAACGCCTACATAACCAAGTCGCAGGGGAATCACTTTTCCGAGTAACAAATTGCGGGCATCGGTACCTCTATCCATGATATCCAACTGAGTGGGGAAATAAATGTTAAATTTGACAACAAATATAACACACCGCTCTGAAATGATAAGTAAAATGAAGTAAGAATGTCACCTTTGTTATTATACCTATGGTCCGGTAACCTGCCAACATTTCAACGTCATATTATAAGCCCCATAACGTAAACATAAAAAGAAAAATAAAGCACTCAGAGTCAAGATTCAAAACACAAGAACTACCATCAGGATCAGCAACTCCTGCAACTTGAAGAGCATCCGAGTTTGCCAAGTCCGCATTTGCAGCAGTAACAGCGAGTATAAGACAGCTTGGCTTTTTTATGTATGACATGATCATTGTTCTGATTCTCGATTCAATATCAGTGGGCTGGTCGCCGACTGGAACTTTTGTTATACCAGGAAGATCAACAAGTGTGATATCAAGAACGTTAGGGGAGAAAATCTTCAAACGGATCTGCTTGTCCGAGACACCTTTGTTCTCTCCCGCTTCTCTAGCTGTTACAGCCTACATCCAAGCCACCAATAAATACAATACTATAAATAAGAATCAGAGCATGGTAGCGCCATCATTATGTTAAGAACGCCGCTTTCATGCAGTATCTATAAATCAGCAACATAATTTGCTTAGATTCGTTGCTTGTTGCATTTAAGAATACAGCAAAAGGAACAATATAACATCGAAGAGTACACTGCGTTCTCTAGCGATTCAATGATCAGAATTTAGCTTCCACATAATCAAGTACAGGAACGCTAGCTTTTATCGGTGATGGCAGAGTTCTATCCCCTTTGTTTCATCCTAAAAGGCTAGGCAAGAAAAAACCAGAAAATTATAGGTAAACGAATTGCAGGAACAAGCTAGTTCAAGCACATTCCATCCGACTTCTCTTAATAGAACTTGCCCTTAACCAAAACCACAGCAACTAAACTAAAACAGTCCTACTCTCAAGGCATTAGGTTCAGCAATCTCCAGTTCACTACTATCCTACTCCAGGTAAACGAAACCGAACCTCGATTTCACTCCGGATCTCGGAGAAGTCGTAGAACCGCTTGTCAGGCCGATGGAGGAACTCCCCCCACTCTTCCTCGCTCCCGTCGCCCTTCTTCTTCGTCTGCACCAGCTGCAGAACCAGCGGCCGGCGCGTGCAGATTTCGTTCCCGCGAGGCAGGAAATCCCTCCCCACCAGCGCCTCGAGCACGCTCGACTTGCCGCTGCTCTGGCTGCCGACCACCGCCACCTGCGGCAGCTCGATCGAGGACTGGCTCCCGAGCTGGGCAAATATGTCCTGGAGCTTGTTCACCACGGGAATCACCGACGAGCCCAGCGGCGGAGCCGGCGACGGGGATGCTGGCTCTTCCGCCATTTGATCTAGGGATTCAGCAACGTGAGATTAAGAGCGCGAAGAGAAATGGGGTGAAAGTAGGGTTTTGAAGGTTTCTCAATCAAATAATCTCTCCCCTGCCGATTGGAATGCGCGGTTAGTTTGTTCGCAGGAGTTGTTTCTATGGACTGGTTTTTGCTCTCTGGACTTCTTTACTTTCTGGTTTGTAGCTCACGTTTTGCTGACATCATGTAGTAAGACATTACATCAGTAGTTGTCGGTTTAGTACCTATTTTTCTACTGCATTCATCTTCAGATCCCTATCGTTTTGAAACGGTTAAGTAAGTCTACATTAAAGTAAAATAATATCTTAGTTCCTGACACGAAGGCTGTGGTTTAGAGCCAAGAATTCGTAATGGTGACATTGGAGATAGATATTTGTAATTCTGGAGCGCCCATAATCATTTCTTTGACATGTTTTATGTTTATCATATTTTCGTCAATCATTTTGATGTGCCTTAGAATCATCTTTTGTGGCTTTGTTTTAGTGTTGGTAGATCTCTCATCTATCTCTTTGTTTCATCCATCGAGTTGGTGATCAGGAGATGCAAAGACGTTCTCATCGAGCAGTGGTCTGGATGCCATTTATGGACACGAAGACAGGGGGCGCATCATTCTGGATCTTGTCAGTCTTCTTCTGATTTTCCTGGGGTCAACTTTTCGTTCTTTTCTTCTCTTGTGGGGCTTTGCAGGTCGCTTGTGGCTTTGGGGGCTCGTCGATGAGAATCGGCTTGTCAACGATGTTGGGGGACTCATTCGATATTGTTGGTCATTCCTGGCTGAAGGTCGAGTTGGTGAAAAGGTTTGTGCATGGTTCAAAAAGACGCGCTTAACCTTACGCTTAGGCATGTTTAGGGGTTAGGCAACGGCAAAAATGCCTCGCCTAGGGGTTTCCCGCCTAGTTAGGTACTGCAACACGTCAATGAAGTAAGATGACACTTAAGTCTCTCATAAAAACAATTAGGAGTTAGGAAGTCGATATTAAAGGAGAAAATTAACCTCAACTACGAGATCAATTTTTTATATCAATATTTCCAATTGCTCAAGAACTTGTGAGCTATTGGGCTATAATTCTATGATTTGTTTAGCTATCTTTCTAACGTTAAGTGTTACGTAAGTTATTGATCATTTTAACTTAAGTGAGAAAATATTGTAAATTATTATTTCATTTATCATGCAGTGCGAATATCTATTGTTCATCCAATGCCTATACGAGCTAGGCTCTTAGCAATACCTCAACACACGCCTTACGCCTAGCGCCTTTATAAAAAATCTATAGCTTATGTGTGACATTTTAACTAAATAACTATGTTTGACCCGGATTAGTACCGGGGGATTAGTGTGGAACCTTGATCCGGACTCCCTCGTCTGATCTCCTCGGGAGTGGAAGAAACCTGTGGAGAGTCGGGGGCGGCCCCCGTGATCTACACTCCGACGCCCAAGTTAGAATAGGATATATGATAGAGTGTAGAGAATGTAGAGAGAGATAGGGTTTAGAGAGAGAACCATAAGTGGTAAAGTGAGGGAAAGGAGAGAAGTCCCCTTGCTTGGAGGGTCTGGCCTCCTTATATAGGAGTCGGAGGCATCCTGTGGACGCCTCCCGTTGTCATGGACGCCCCCGGTCGACTGGTCGCCTCCCGTCGATGGACGCCTCCCGTCGATGGACGCCTCCCGGTGGTGGACGCCCCCGGGTAGGCTGGACGCCTCCCGGTGATGGACGCCCTCCGGATGGACTGGACGCCTCCCGGTGTACTGGACCCTCGAATGGGCTCGGGTCCAAGGTGAGACGCTTTGTGGTGGGCTTGGGCCCGTATTAGGCGGGTTAATACTAGACCCAACATTTGCCCCTTTGCTTCTTGTATTCTGTAAGAATGGAAGGAGTAAAATAATGCGTTAAGGTGTATTAGCTTGCCTTACTTGCGAATCCGCACGATGCGGTTTTGCCCCTTGTGCGACCATTGCTTGGTGCTGGATGCCCCTGGTGATGGACGCCTCCCGATGGTTGAGACGCCTCTCGGTGATGGACGCCTCCGGGTGATAGGATGTCTCCCGGTGATGGGCGCCCACGAGTGGACTGGACCCTTGCGGGTCCAAACGATGCGGTTTGCCCCTTGTGCAACCATCATCTTTGCTTCTTAGCTTAGCATTCGATGTCTTGAGTTAGAGCTCTCAAGTCGTTTGAGATTTCCCCACTAGCCCATTGTCGAGCGTGCTAATATGTAGGCCGTAACTGTGAGCTGTATGCGTTAAGCTGTTGGACCGCGAGATGGGCATGAGCTTGTGTGCATGTTAAGCGTGAGTTGTTGGCTGAATATTAGGCGTTGGCTATGTGCTAGGGAGGGCGGCCCCCACGACTTGAGAGTTTTAACTCAAGGCGACGTTTGTGTTTTGAAGATGCCACACCTGCTGGGAGGCGGGATCGTGTTAGCTATACCGATGGCGCGCCTACTGGGAGGCGGTTTCGGGCTTCTACGTAGAGGGGAAGCATCGCTCAGGAAGCGGGATGCGGTTCTATATCTGCGAAAGATGTGAGTGACTAGTGCCCCATATTTTTAGAGCACAAACATAAGCATAGCATAGGATGTAGTGAGAAATATCATAGTATGATATTAGTGGCGGTCTTCATGGCATAGTATTTGAATATATCTTAGAAGGAAGTACTTATCTCGAGAATAAGTTGTAGAAGACAGCTGGGAAGCGGTCTAAATAACGGGAGTCGCACTTTGATTCACAAATAAGTGTTGTAGTGCAGTGGTTCAGCCTTTGATGTGGTGAGGGTGGGCGCGCGGGTTCGAATCTTGATAGACACATTCTACTCATCTTTTTTGGTGAGCGGCTTCCTATAGGCCTTTGGACTTGATGTGCGGGCCTAATTAAAGGGGACGCGGGTTTTGGTCGGCGGTCCTTAACGAGAGGCGGATTTGGGCTTCGGAGGCTCAGTTGGGCATGGGCCCTTGATGAAGTCGGAGGCGGTCTTCGGAAGCAGAAGAAGGCGCGGGTCTGCGTTTGCGCTGAGGCGGGCTGGATGCTGTCGGAGCGGTCGATGTTTGGGCTTTGACACAAAGCGGGCTTCATCTTGGGCTTTGAGGTGCGTATGCGGGTCGGACGAGTTGTGAGTTGGAGGCGGGCCCAAAGTGAGGTGTGCGGTTTCACGATTGGCGGCCGAATGCGGTTGGGCTGAGAATTCGTCGGGCTTTGTTGCGAACTTTGATAAATATAGAGCGATGCAAAAATATGCAAGATGTGTTCTTCTAGCAGACTGGTGAGCACCCGTGTTTGATGGAAGCAGGATGCGGGTTCGAAGGTTGGCGGACTTGCTTATATATTCTTTTTTATTGAGTATACTTTCTTCTCATCAATGGGCTATGCTGGCAAGGAGAGGGAGTGGGCCTCGGAGTCGCTTCGTGCGGGCCCAACTGCCGTGCGGATGTGTGAGGTGGACCCTTGCATTTGGCGGTCCAACTGAAGGCACGAGGCGAGCTGGAAGCGGAAAGCTAGCCCATCATCGGGCTTTGGTGGGAGGCCCATGGACGCATACATGGAAGGCGGTCTGGGCCAAATATAAAGGTGTGATGACGGCCGTGGCAGCGGTCCAAGTTGCGTGAAGGACGAAGCGATTGGGCTGATGTCAGAGACAGCTGTCTTTTCTTTCTTTTTGTAGGCCCCCTCTTTTTGTAGGCCCCCACTGTAGCAGAGCTGCTTTTTTTTTTTTTTTTTGTCAGAAAAGCTTCTTTTTCAGAAAAAGCTTTGGGAGATGTGACAGACCCTTTTTTTTTCCCTTTTTCTGACAGAGAGGGAAAAAGTAGCTGTCAATGACTTTTGGAGAAGAGTGGGAGGAGGCCGATGTGACATGATGGTGATTGCCGGCTGCCGCTCTTCTTCCTTTCCTTGTCGGAGCTATGGTGGCGCACACAACTCCGATGACCGGAGTCGCCGTGAAGATTGGCGGCTAGGGAGTTGGTGACGATGGCGGAAGAGCTGATTTCTCTCAATCCTCTGATGGGATTTTGCGGTCGGAGCCATCGGTGGTAATTAGTGGAGAAAGAATCGATTTCCTCTCCTCCTTCAGATACCAAACGAGAAGAGTACCAAATCAGGCCCCACGGTGGGCGCCAAAATGTTTGACCCGGATTAGTACCGGGGGATTAGTGTGGAACCTTGATCCGGACTCCCTCGTCTGATCTCCTCGGGAGTGGAAGAAACCTGTGGAGAGTCGGGGGCGGCCCCCGTGATCTACACTCCGACGCCCAAGTTAGAATAGGATATATGATAGAGTGTAGAGAATGTAGAGAGAGATAGGGTTTAGAGAGAGAACCATAAGTGGTAAAGTGAGGGAAAGGAGAGAAGTCCCCTTGCTTGGAGGGTCTGGCCTCCTTATATAGGAGTCGGAGGCATCCTGTGGACGCCTCCCGTTGTCATGGACGCCCCCGGTCGACTGGTCGCCTCCCGTCGATGGACGCCTCCCGTCGATGGACGCCTCCCGGTGGTGGACGCCCCCGGGTAGGCTGGACGCCTCCCGGTGATGGACGCCTCCCGGTGTACTGGACCCTCGAATGGGCTCGGGTCCAAGGTGAGACGCTTTGTGGTGGGCTTGGGCCCGTATTAGGCGGGTTAATACTAGACCCAACAAACTAGATAGGGTTTGTGTGAGCCTTGTGGCTTTGGGTTCTTTCTTTTGATGGGCTTCCCTTCTATTTGATCTTTACAACTGTTTTTAGCCCACTGTTTTGAGGCCTTCATGTTTACTATCTGTTTTGTGTTGCCCTTCCAACTTTCATGGGTATTATGTACTCAAACCTTCACTCATATTTTGAAGTGCAATGGTTGAGAGATAGGCCTTTGCATGGAGATCCACCAACTTGATAGCCCAATGTTTTCACTCACAGAAAACCTCGTGGGCTGATAGGCCCAATCTTTACCTTTTTAAACACGTATGATGCGGAAGATGGACCTTGCTTCCTTGGTCAGGCCCGAATGGTAATTTGACAAATGAATCGAAACTGGTGAATTTTTATTTTATTTTATTTTATTGAGTGATCCTCATGAATTTCAGGGAAAAGTAGAGTGGAACTGTGGAACTGGAAGTGAATGAGAGCGAGTGCGTATGGGAAGAAGCGAAAAAAAGCAAAGGCAGTAGGAAAATTCCATTCTGTTCCCCACTTCAAGAGCATTAATCCATTTCGTACGGAACTCAAACCCTAAAAAGACCCAAAAAGAAAGTGCAAAGATCGAAACAAAATAATAATTATTCAGAAAGAAATATAACCTAAGCCGTAATTAGCAGGGGTGTACATGGGTCGGGTGGTCCGGGTTTAGGCATTTTAATCACCCGACCCATGCACTACGGTTTGGGAAATATTAAACCCAAACCCACCCAAAAAAATCTAAACCCTACGGTTTGTTTTTAATTGGGTTGGGTCGGGTTGGCGATATTTTTAAGTAAAAACCCAACCCAACACAAAATATGTAATTATTCTACATGATAAAAATATTTTATAACAAATTAAAAATTCAAACGAATAAACCGAGGCGAAAGGTATCAAAATTCACAAATATTGTTTGAATTTTAATAAAACTTTATTTACTTCAACTTATGTCTAACTTTTAAAATTGTACACAAGAAAAAAATACGTGAATCATAGCTATATTAAATATATGTCTAAACTTTAAGTCGAAGAATGCATTAGATTAGTGAGACTTTAAGATAAAAACATGGCGAAATATCTTAATTTTCTCATAAGTATGACTATATACGACATAAATATTTTTTTGGATACGAACTCATACCCATAATTGGAACACGGGTTGGGTCGGGTTCTACGGGTTGTGTAATCCAAAATCCAAACCCAACCCAAAAGAGACGGGTTGTACAAAAGAAAACCCTCACCCAACCCAAAACCTTCGATTTAGCGATAAATACGGGTGGGTTGGGTCGGGTTGGACGGGTGGGTCGGTTTGCGGGTGTGTTTGTACACCCCTAGTAATTAGGGGTGTGTAAAGTTCTGGATATGACCAAACTATTTAGAACCGTGGTTCAATAGTGAAAGACGTATTAGAATGAATTAGTATTGTATTCAATTCGGTGTGGCAAGATTCAAACATCAAATCGATCGATGTTTGTTCGGGTTCAAATGTCAATTCGGTCCATTTTTACATTATTTGTTAAAATTCATACTACCAAGTACCGGACCACATTATATTCGATTCGCTACGATCCGATCCAAATGTCATTTTGATCTGATAAGGATCAAGCCGTTGCACACCACTAGTCGTAACATTAACCTTTTTCTCACCAAGACATTTTTCGATTTGCATGTACCCTCACACAATTTTTGGTTTGTTTTTCTGTGTGCACCATAGTGATGTTTTTAGGAGGAGACCCATCTTTACAGTGCTCTAAACTACCCACGTGCCACGTTTAACCTCAACATTTCCACGAAGAACTCTTGCATTTTACATCAAAATACTCTTTCCCGTCTTAAAATATTAATGGCGTCTTATAAATAATGAATCTCTCTCGTATTCTAAACTATTAGATAAAGCTACAAGACTTATCAATTTTTTTTTATACAGGAACCATCTTCCAAGGTGTGGCGACATTCATTCTGCAATCCCAATACCCTCACGAATATCACCACAGCGCCTGCCTTCCTCCCATTTCCTAATCACTCTTTAGATAAAATAAAATATTATCATTAACCACTTTTTTTGGGGGCGCCGGATCCAATGCTAATTTTTTTTAATTAATTAATGAATAAAAATCGCCAGCAGCACAAACTTTTTCCTTTCCTCTGGTTTAGCCAGAGTACAATCACGCACGCCACGCCACCCCTCTCCCACGTGCAACTCTCCTCTCTTTCCCCTTCTCATCATTACTTCCACTGGCAGCAAATCAGCAAATATCCTCCTCCTCTTCCTTCCTTCCTTCCTGATATCTTGGCCGTTACAAGAACAGAGAGAATTACCAATTTACCACCATTTGCCATTGAAAGCAGCAGCAGCAAAAGCGATGATGAAATGGAGAGCAGCAAGCAACTCAGGCATACTGTGACTGCCTAGTGCTGCAACATATATTGGATTACGACAACGAAGCGCGATAAATCGATCGGAGAGAGAGAGGGAAAAAAAAATTCATGTTGTACCTCAATCGTTATAAATGATACTTTGGTCATAATTAGCTCGCGTGCGTCGTCGTCTGTTATACAAACGGTCTGTGACAGATGAGCGTTCTATAACGGCGGTATTTGTAGATTTCAAACACAGTAATCCGCGAGCGCTACGAGACAAGTCGTTGAATAGGGTATTGGGGGAGCAGAAAAAGGAATTGTAGTAGTGCAGGGGTGGCACAAACTACCTCCAAAATTGGCCGATTAGGGATTAATTATTAAATTAATTAAATCCTCAATTCCCCCCCCCCCCCAAACGACGGCCAAAGGCAATTATTTACAAGGAGAAGAAGGGCGGCAACGTAAAAAAGGAATTGAAGGGGACGGTTGAACAAACATAGAATACTGCCGGCCACATATGGTCCGGCGTTGCCGTTTAAACCGTTTTGGGGATATGGCCGGACCTTGAATTCCAATAGGCAGAAAAGGGCAAAGAGACAATTCCACGGAGACACAACCATGTGTGTGCAGGCCTGATCTAATTCTCTCCACAAACGTCGTCCTTCGGAGTAATCATTTTCACGCTTTTGCATCAATTCCGTGGAAGATGATACGTTGTGTACAAAATCAATGGACATCATTGCATAACACATCCTGCATAACCTCAGTCGTATGAAATACTTAATTAACACAGGTACTTAATCTAACATTATACCGTTTTGGGGATGGCCGGACCTTGAATTCCAATAGGCAGAAAAGGGCAAAGAGACAATTCCACAAAGACACAACCATGTGTGTGCAGACCTGATCTATTTCTCTCCACAAAAAGTCGTTCAGAGTAATCACAGTAATCATTTTAGCGCTTTGCATCAATTTTGTAGAACCGGTAATACATTGTGTACACATCGATGGATACATCGTTGTATAACGCTTCCTGCATGACCTCAATCGTATGAAATACTTAATAACACAGGTAATTAAATAATAAGGGCAGTAGGGCACTGGTCAAGTGGGCCCCACAACACAATCAAATACAATACACACTACTACTACTAATGCTATACTGCTAGCAGACAGAGCAAACCCACCCTCCATCGTCATTTTAATGATGCTCAGCCCAAAACAATGATAACGTGATATATTGGGGGAGAATATTCCAAACTGGAGCTGACAAACGAGCAAAAGAGAAGGTAAAGCGAACAAAGAAATAGTCATAGTGGTGGTGGTGGGAGAAAAGAAAAACAATAATACTTTGGCCGGAAGACTGAAGCAGAGGAGGAGAGCAAAAGCTTCTACTACATAAACAACCAAAGGGAAAGAAAGTGGCCACAAAAAAACCAGTGCGCTAAAAAAAAGACTAAAAAAGGCTCTCAAACAAACGACACTTTTCACACACAGGAACAAAAACCAATCAATGCCTGCCTGCCTGCCTGCCTGCAAGTGCAATTCTGCAAGCTAAAGCAGAGTCTCTGCCATGTATAGTAGTCAAAATCCTCTCCCCCCCTCTTCTCTTCCCAAGCACATAAAGATAAACCAGATACAGCCAACAGATTCCAGACAGTCAAAATTATAAGCCGGCTAAGATTAGATTAGCTTTGACGAGAACAACTGAAATGGATAATCTGTACAAATTCGAAGAACACAAAGACACTACTGAAATTTGCTAATTGGAACCTCCCCCCCTACGGTTAACTTCTAATTACTCAAACAAGATAACAGTAAAAAAAGCTAAAAATGCTATATTCCTGCTGATGCAAAGAAAGAAAGTTACCTCGAGCTAGCTACAGCTACCTCCATCTCTCTCTCTCTATCACTTTTCTTTCCTGAATATATTTTTTTTTTTACTTGGTCAGGTATTTGCTCTGTTTTTCCTCCTCATCATGGCTTCAAACGAAACCACTGGTACCGGCCCTCCAATGGCGCATCCTTCACGACGTCAAAGTTGTACCTGCAAGAGAAGAATTGCCCCCAAAAAGGGTTTGTTAGTAGTTAGTTAGGGTTCGATTTCGGATTCCACCTCCCTCTAACGTGCGCCAGCCTTTTATCCTACGCATCCAGAACGAAAAATAAATGAAAAAGAAAAAAAAAAATACGACTCACTTCTCTGTAAATCGTTTCTGCTGCTCGTTCTCCGCCGCCGTGAAGAACTCGTCGATCTCTTCCTGACTCGGAGACTCCTTTGCCTTCCCCGCCGGCGCCGTTGAGGAAGGAGGCGCGCGCTTGGTGGCGGTGGGAATTGTCTTCGGCTTCTCCGTCGTTGTTGTTTCCGATTTCGCGGAGGAGTCGGCCATGTCTGTTTCTACTGAGCTGTCTGCGCTGAACCGACTGGAAGGAGAGGCTTCTCTGCTACAAACGGAAAGAGGAAGAAGAAGAAGAATGAGAATACGAATTTCAGAGATGCAACTAACTCTGTGCAGATATAATTGACCGTTTGGATTCAAAAGAAATTCTGGAGCTACAGTAGGAAAATCAATCAATGAATGAAAATGAAAAAAAAAAAGGAGAATAACCATAAACAAAACGAACCTGAATTTGTTGTCGATGCAGGTCGAGGAGCTTTCCGTTTCGTAGCTCTTAGCCTGCAGTAACAATATATATGGTATTAATTAATTAACTGCCGTAAATACGATCTCTCTCCGACTGAATAATGAATCTCTTTGAATGTTGGAGAAAACGGAAATTGTCGCGACGAGAGAGAAGAAAACAAGTACTGTTTCGATCGGCTATTTCTACCTTTCCTGAGAAAGAAGAGGGGGAAATTTTGAAATCCTAATAATTATGCTAGGACCGAGTTACTACCTGTAGTAGCGAGCTCTCGGAGATCGGAATTTTTTTTTTTTGAAATTCGAATTTGCTAAAATTCTAACTGAATTTCGCGCTGATTTTCTCAGGAAACAAACAGCAAGATACCTCTCGCGAAGTTCAATCTTATCCAGAATTCCGGAAGTTCAATTATGAGCTATGCCTAGAAAGGAATCCATTCATTCTTCAAGAAGAAGAAAATATTGCAAAATACGCTTAACGAAAACAAGAAGGAAACCGCTCGCAGAAGAAGAAGAAGAAAACTAGCTTAGCAGATAACAGCCAATTCCGAAAACCAGCCGCAATTCTCGAGTATCGATCGGGTTTCGAGTTCTTACCTCTAGATCTGCCGCTCCGAATTCGCTCTCCTTCACATCGTGCTCGCTCGACTCTACATTGCTGGAGCAGCAGCCGCCGGTCGAAGCGCGGGAGTCGGCCGCAGCGGAGCAGAAATCGCCGTCGAACATGAGACGGCCGCCAGCTGCCGACGACGAATTCGACGCCGACGTCGTCGGTGCAGCCGCCTTCCCCTCCGCTGATGAGCAGCGAAGTCGGGGGATCTCGTCCGAATTCCGGGAGAGAGGGGAGCTCGATTTCAATTCCACGAATTCCAGCCTATCATCCTCGTCGCTCTTCTTCAACTTCTTGGAGAAGCTCCTCGCGGAATCCCAGGCACCTTCGTCAAATCCACCGTCGTCTGATCGCTTGCAGTTCCTCGAAGAAGAATCCTCCATTTCTCTCTCTCTCTCTCTCTCTCTCAGTTTTCTTTCTAAAACCAACTTTTCGAGTTTTCTGACTCTCTATCTTTCCGGTTTGTTTTCTGCTTCTTATGGGAGGGAGAAAGGGACGGGGGGAAAAAGTAGAGAACTGCCGGAAATGGAAGGAGAGCCGTTGATTAAACCGACGGTTGAGATCTCACTGGGCCCAGCGGAAATTATCCGTGTGGTCCCTAACGGTGTGATTAAAGGGCATAATGTAATTAACAGTGCCGTTACGATTATCAGACGGTTGGAATTTGGAAAGGAAAAAGATGCTCCTTACCGTTAAAGAAGCGTTACCTCTCCGTCCACGGTCCATCCCAATTAATCATGACACACTAAAATGGTAATTAAGCCACTCACTGGGTTGTTTGGCTTTGTAACTAAGGTTAGTGAAATAATTAGCGTCACTAGCTAGGTTCCAGAGGTTGGAATAAATTTTATGGGATTTTCTCAACAGTTTTCATTCTTTTTGATTTTGTAGAATATGTAAATATAAGTCCTGAAGTTATATGCAAAATAGAGTTAGAAATTTCTATTCATGTTGCTTGTTATGTTAGTTATATGGATTGATAACAATGTTAATTGGATCGATGTGGAAAGAGGTGCGTTGCTTGTCATTAAAGTAACATATGACGGTTATCGAACGATGGAGATTGAATGTACATATGTAATCACACATATTTTTCTTGTCATTATTTTTGCTGATCGATGCGTTGCAACATGTTGTCGTTTGTCTCCGCTGACTACTATTTCTACTGAAACTGCCACCAACTAACTCCAACTGTTGGTATACAATAGATTATTCTTTTTTGTACAAATTGATATTCAAGATTTCTACCATTGCTCTTTCCAAGCGGATTTAACAAATTTTCGACACGAACTTGCTAAATATGGATTCACTTGGATCTGTTACGTCTTTTTTTTTCTTTGTAAATTTCCAGTACGCACTCACAACATACAAGTTTGTAGTATGAATATGCTAATTTTCTCAAATAACAATTATCGGGAGTTTGGGACACTTTTGGATGGACTATAGAGTGATTTTTGCATGTGATGATGGTTAGAATGTTGTGTGTCTAAAATCCCCGGAAAAGCATGTTGGTGATTTTTAAGGTAATAATGAGATGCTCGAATCTTTCGACGTCATCAAAGTAATTAGTATATTCATGAATTGGTTTGTGAATTCAAGGCCTTACATGTTGAGATTAATTAATGATTACAAAAAATATTAATGTTAACTGAACGGCTTCACCAAAACGTTTCCTAATTTTTTTTATATAGAAAACGTTTCCTAATTTTGGTGGAGAGACTTGAAAGCATGCTTCTTCCGTTATTAGTAGTTGTCCATATCAATCAAGTACTATATTGTTTCATAAGAAAGAATAGCTGGCCCAAACCTTACTTAACAACCACACAACACATAAATCAGGCACCATGAAAGAAAACCTTTATAAGCCCTAGCTAGTAGCTAGCAAGGATAGTACAAGGGGGTCGTTATACTTTGCATCATATCGATGACTACTTTATATTTTGAATTGTAAAATATAACAAATTTAGGTACTAAAACTGTAATAATTCTCCAACAATCCATGAATCTAATTCGTTAATTCACATATCCAATTGAACATGAATTAAATGGATTGGATTAGTTTAATTATTAGATGAATTGGATTGGTGGATTAAATATCAAATAACGAACATGACTTTGAGATCTAAGAAGATCATTAATTTGTTAGGGATTTCAACGCGAGCACAGTTAGGCATGTGTGTGCTCGATCGGATTGCTCGGGCATTAAGAGTGTGTGTGATTAGTGAGTAGTCCAATCAAGACCAAATTAAGAATGAAAAGAGAACATATATATATACGAAAATGTCTTCCCTTGTAACTACTTAGCTCAAAACACGTAGGGTCCTACGGTTGAACATTGGTCTTCAAGACGCGCTCATAATTTACAACTCTAAGTCATTTTTAAACGTACTTTATATTGTAGCCTCGAATCAAATATAAAGATATAATGTAGCACAACCCGACCTCTGGCCTGCAAAAAGAAAGAGAGCGAAGTTTTTTTTTTTTTTTGCCCATGGACCTCTTTGAAACTCCAACTCCAATCGAGGTGGACATTGATGCAGTTTATAGTTCGATCAAATGCCACGTTTAGAATGTGTAAAGGAAGCTAGAAAAAGTGAAGCAAAACGACAGGCAGACATTCAATTATCAATTTCATATGAAAGAATGCAAAAATAAAGAAACCACAAGTTTTTGCTGATTCTCATATTCTTAAAAGCAGTTGTCGACCCCTCTCTCCACATAGCTTAGCTTTTAAAAAAGTTGCAACCCGGAAAAGGAGAGCTTAGAGGATAAGAAATGTGAACCTTGCCGCTGACATGTTTCCAAATCTATCGAGAAAGCAGCAAAAGAGCCTCAACCAGTCTCTCAACTCACTCTAAAACCAGTCTCTGTGAAACCGTTCGGTGGTCAAACCTATAAAAACCTCCTATCGAAACACAAATCGACAAGTTATCTTTAACGTGGTATAAAACGATTGAACCACGATTTAAACACAATCTACCCTACCACTATCTTTTTTGGTCCAACCTCTGGTACGGTTTTACAATCCTAGCTCTCAATAAATATATCCGAGAGCGGTAACCACAATACCCATCATCGGGCTGATCTTATATACTAGACTTCCACCTTAGGTGACCCAATTCGTTGGTATGTGGCCGCCGCTCTCGCTTTGGCGCGGCAAAACGCGGATTTTCCAGAATTCGTTCATAATTCGCACTTTTTATTGTTATGGAGCGCGAACTATATCATTAAATCCGCGTACTACCTACGATTATCTGTCATGCTGCTACCAGCATCGCTGAGAGATCTGAATCTCGGTTAGGAGGAAGATGGACTTATGGCCGACGATGGTTCAGAAAAAAGGAGAGTCGCCACCGCTTCGTCGGGCATGGAAGAAGACGATTCAATTTCAGTTTCAATCGTACCCATCAATCCAAATTAACTTCAATCGATTTCTTCCATTCCATGCAAAAGGCGGATTGTTGGATGGACGATTACCTGAAACTGGAAGGCCAATAAAACTCGGACCCAGACATGCATGGTGCGCCAGAGTACTCGAAGTCATGGAAGAAACCACCATTGTATTAGAGTATAGGACTAAGAATGTAATTCGCATTAAGATAGATGATTATATTGTAAATATACATAGGTTAGTTATAGATATAGACTATATAAGCTGAGATACTCTGTAAATTCCTTTACGTTTTTTCTCTCAATCAATCAAGATTCAGTGTTAATCAGAAACTCTAGCATGGTATCAGAGCTCTTCTGAGCTGCCTCGCTCGCTTTCTCGCTTCCGCAAACTCATCTTCTTCCAAATTCTTTGCTTAGCTTCCTTCGCGTCCTCCTATGGCGTCGAATTTCTCTGCTCCTTCTGGCTTCGAAGCCGAAAATCCTCACAATGGAGGTCGCCAGCACGGATCTGGTGGAGTTTCTTATCTAGGCGTCGCGATTTCTGATCCGGCTTCTCCCTTTTTCATTCATCCCTCGGAGAATTGGGGGCAATGCCTAGTATCGCAGCCGCTTACCGAGAATAATTTCTCCAGCTGGGAGAGATCGATGATTCTGGTCATCGATGGCAAGAATAAGCTTGGGTTCTTGAACGGCAAGATTCCGCAACCACCAGACGATTCTCCTCTTCTTGAGCCATGGAATCGCAACAACAAGCTTCTGTTAAGCTGGATTCAGAGATCGGTGAATCCAACCATCGCCGAGAGCATCCTGTATGTTACAACAGCAATTGGTGCTTGGAACGAGCTACGAGAGCAATTTTCCCAAGGGGATTCGTTCAGAATTGCTGATCTCCAAGAGTCCATCTTCCTCCTCAAGCAAGGTACTCTGAGCGTCTCGCAATATTACTCTAAACAACGAGCTCTATGGGATCAATTGGCTAATTTTAGGTCTATCCCTGATTGTGAGTGTGGCATTGCTTGTCACTGCATTCTAGCTTCTCTTAGGAAGGATCATATGAATGATAAGGTGATCAGATTCCTTAGGAACTTGAATGACAGTTTTAATGCCCCAAGATCCACAATCATGCTCCTTGATCCGTTGCCTCCCATCAACAAGGTTTTCGCCATGATGGTGCAGCATGAACGTGAGAACAACTTATTGCCTAAGACAAATACTGGTTCTCAGCCTCCCACCAATCCCACTGCTGACAGTATGGCCTTCTTTACCAGAGCTGCTGGTAGTAATCTTGGGGTTCAGGGTGCTGGTCAAGGGTTCAAGAAGCAAGGCAAGAAGCCGGTCTGTACCTTCTGTGGCTATACTGGTCACACCGAGGACATTTGCTACAAGAAAAATGGTTATCCCCCTGGGTATCAGCCAAAGAAGAAGAATCAACCAAGACAGGCTAACAACATTACTGTTGAGCATGGAGAAACATCATCTGGGAATGGTGCAGTGATGGTTAATCCAGCTGACTGGATGAGTTTTCAGCAGCAGTATCAGAAGATGATGCAGTTCATGCAATCTCACACTTCTGCTCTACCACCAGTACCTCAGCAACCTGCCTCTCCTAGCTTTGCTGATGTTTTCATGGGCAATCAAGTCTCCCATTCAACCCAGTCTGCTGAAAATGACGGTTCTGGACAACATCCCATTGTCAGCAGATCCAATTCAGTGGCTTCTCATGTCTCACATGCCACTGCTACTCAGGGTAACTTCAGTTTAGCCCTTTCTGTCAGTTCTTCTATTACTAGCAAATGGATTATTGATACAGGTGCTACTGATCATATCATTTGCACCATAGAACACTTTGATAGTTATAGATCAGTTCAGAACACTTTTGTGCATTTGCCTAATGGTGATAAAGTAGTAGTAACTGCTATTGGAACTGTTCAATATTCAGAAGAACTAGTCTTCACAGATGTCTTACTTGTCCCTAGCTTTACTTTTAATCTGGTTTCTGCCAGCCAGTTAGTTAAAGCTAAAACCATCAGCTTATGGTTTCACTCCTCTTTCTGTCTAATTCAGGAACTCCATTCCCTGAAAACAATTGG